TATTATATAGTATAACTATATGTACCCACTGGTGACTGCATAACACAGCCTGAAACAGTATATTATATAGTATAACTATATGTACCCACTGGTGACTGCATAACACAGCCTGAAACAGTATATTATATAGTATAACTGTGAACCCACTGGTGACTGCATAACACATCCTGGAACAGCATATTATATAGTATAACTATATGTACCCACTGGTGACTGCATAACACATCCTGGAACAGCATATTATAAAGACTAACTGTGTACCCACTGGTGACTGTAAGGCACAGCCTGGAACAGTGCAATATATAATTCAGCTATTTTAAAAGAAACAAAGTTTACAATCAAGCAATATGACAATTTGATGTCAACAAGAACTTACATTCACTCTGATTTCATCCATTTCCACTTTCCTTTTCTTCTTTTTACTCTTTTTCTTTGATACTTTGGAAGAGGCAAGTCCAGGTTCTGGAGTCACCGGCCTGGACATGTCTGACTCTGACTGACCGATACTACTGCCATCTATAGACCAGTCTTCATCTTCAAGGTCTTCATCTACAATATGATATTTATTAAATTAAAAAAAAAAAAAACAAAGATAAATCATCAGTACCATACCTACCACACCAAAACAAAATGAAAATTTTTTTGTACTTCATAGTTTTCATTTAAAAATCTTGGCACTGTGCAACTAAAAGACAAAGAGATTACATTTAATTTGCTCTGAAAATATGCTTGTCTATCACATACATCCATCTCCTACATCATATTAATTGTTATCATCTCTCTTTTCGTGGTTAACTCCCTCTGTTATATACTGTACCACAATGAATACAAAACCTGATTCTTCCTCCTCTTCCCCAACCTCTTCCTTCTCCTCCTCTTCTCCCTGATAATCTCTCTCCTGCATCTGTCTCTCCCTTTCCTTCACTGCAGCAGCATCCCCATCATTCAAGTCATCATCAGATGCCAGATCATCCTCCTCATTGGCAGTGTTGTTAACAGGCTCATTTTCTGTCTGAGGTCTTTTTCTCTCTACTACTGTGGCAGTACTTACCATTCTGCAAAGTGCAGGTAAGAAATTGATAGAGAATAGGGCAAAAATGTCTAATTCCGGTGCTTATGAAATAAGCACATGAAGATGTGCACACTGATAAGAATCCTAATCAGACTTGATCCTAATTCTTGAGGTTTTAATATTTATATTGATTTAAGTAATACTGTCAAGTCATTTAGTGGGAATGACAAGTTTAAAATCTCAATTAAGAATGCAGATGTCTGGAAGTATTAAATCTATTGAGCTGTACCCATCACAAGCCACACGGTGAATATTCAGCTGCAACATACACATATCACATACCATAGAAAACATCATTAAAATCAAAACTTACATATGATCCTGCAGTAGCTACTTACTTTGCCTTTGACAGTTCCAAGATTCTCTTTTTCACAGCATCACACAGATGTCTGATGAATTTCTTTTCCATGTAAGACAGCACCTTGTTCGGGGTGACACAGAAGTCCTTTTTGTAGGTTTCATATGGTAGAAACTTAAAAGTCAGCCTGTACATCCTGCTTTTATCTCTGGAAGAAGAAATATCTACACTATAAATTAAAATTGTGATGAATTTTAATTCTGAAGTAGTTTTTTGGTTTGTGCACATATCATTTACCTAGCATTCCTTAATCAACCCTGAGCAAACGCAATCTTAAATAATTCCAGTTTTACCACATCCAATGATTATGATTCCAAATATCTGAAGGATCAGCAGTGAAGTGGAGTGTCTTTAAAAAAAACTTACACCTTATTTTTCACAGCCAAATATTCACACACTTTTACATCTTCAAGCACCTGAAAATACAGCAGAACAGTTAACAATTTTGAAATAGCAACACATGGTGAAATTTTACAGATACTGGTTTGTTAATATATCTTTATGAATTGTTTGTACTATATCTAAGTAATAACAAGTATATTCAAGCCTTGCAATGTAATAACAATAGCTAACAATAATCCAACTAACACAATAACCTGGTCTTCCACTTAATCTCAACTACCACACTCATGTGTCACTCAACCAAACAAAACAAACTCACCTGAGCCAAAACAACCTTGTTCAACTTGAGCTGCAGTGGTTTGGCTTTCTTTTTAGCATATTCAGTGTTGAGGATGGGGATGTCCATGTTTGGGGTCTTTATATTGGCACTAGCAACCATGAGGATTTCACGCAGTCGAGGAATACCCAGAGTTACGTTCATTTCACCACGCCCAGCAAAGTGAAAAGTATTCAGTGTCATCTGTGTGGAAGGCTCTCCAATAGACTGAAATATTTATGCCACATGCATATAAATATAAATATATAAATAAATATAAATACATTATTTTTTGATAAAAACAAAATAGGTTTTCAAAATGATGCAAAGTCATGTATACTTGCCCAAACATTAATTTCAAAATATTTGAGAAATGTAAGATAAGAATGAACTTACCTGAGCAGCAAGTAACCCTACAGCTTCCCCCGGCTCAGCTAGACAGTTCATAGTTCTTGAGAAGAGCATTGTCTTGAACCGGTCAGTAGAGATGTGCCCAGGAGTGACCGGAGTCTCAGTGTCATCTACCAACAACTGAAATAGAACATATTTACTACTATGAAAATGCTACCCACAAGCGGAACTGAACTCATTAAAATATGCAGCCATGAAACAAGTAACAACCACAATTAAGAAGTCATGCAGTTGCTTATTTCTAATCCTTTTACAATACTCTAACTAACTTAAGGGCTGTAATATTGTGAATATTATCAACATGTGCAGAAAGTTAAGGCATCCAATAATACAAATATTTAAAAAAAAAAAAGAAATAGAATTTGTGCAATCAGACTTCTTAAATATTTTGTGGAAGTCTCTCTATTTCTAACTCTATTTGACCAACATAAACAATGTTACATACATTATCAGGATTTGTCTTGATATATTCATCCATTGTTTCAAGCATCCTTTCAGAAAGAGATCCAAAATATCGTGCAGGGCTAAGGTCAGCTGCCACAGGGTCTGGGCAGCAAGAGTGGCGTTTCTCTAACTTTCTTTTCTTTTTCTCCTCAAGCTGCCTCCATGCTGCACATACAGCCTCAGTGGCTTTACTTCTCCCATGACTTCCCAGCTCAGTGTCTGGGTGCTGCTCAGTGATAGAACCCCACACCTTCTGACTGTAGCTAAGGAATCCAGATGTCCTTGTCTTGGATGAACTGGGGTTCTTTTTGTGCCACTTTTTGAGCTTACAAAGGCAAAATGAATATCAATTTAACAACTGTGTCATTTAAAACTTTGAAAAAGACATATAGCATGCACTTATGCTTAGAGACATAAACACATTTTCATTTCTGAAAATACAGCATAAAAAAATCTCAATGCAATGTGATACAATTCAAACAAATTCTTACAAAATCAAATCCTGAGTTTGTCAGAAATTGCACTTAGTAAGCAAGATGTCAAATTCTAAAATAATTTTACGAAATAATGGAATATATATCCTTTTCTACAATTATTGTAAAACAATGTGATACATATTTTCTGCTTTAAATTATGTATACATATATAAAAATTATGTGGTTAACCAAACACCCGCCCTTTTCTTCCTGAAAATCTATTTCACCTTTCTGTGCAGTGTTCCAGCTGTGGTAGTGTCCACAATGCTTTCTGTTCTCTTCAACTCTGTCTCATTAAGGACAACATTCTGGTTGCTTATTAGGAAGGGAAACTGTTTCTTGTTTAAGAATGGTGTTTTCAGAATGTCCAAGCTGTCTTCACCATATTGAAACTGAAAAAGAAAATCAAATTAGACTTAATCTATAATTTAACAACCTGGAGAGAAGCATTTCATTTTTCTTTATTCTATTACTGCAAGCAGTGCAAATGACTATCCCATAAGGTTTCTGAGACTGCTAAATCGGGTAAATAAAAGCAATACTTAATTTTTGCTTTTGTTTTTGATTTTGGCCTTTGTATCTCTAAAACAACAACACATATATAGAAAATTTTAAAATTGGATAGTGTTTAGTATACTTCATTTAATAAAAAATTAATATAAGCTAACATTCAGTTGAATCACATTACAACAACTATATAATTTTAATACTTTTCATGGCAACACGTCATTTCCCACAGTACCTGGACCACGCTGCCGTCACTGTCCCTCACTGACATATCATAGTTGACCATAATACCCTCCAGATGTTTGATGATACATCTCTGTAAGTAGCCACTTCTGCTGGTCTTCACAGCTGTGTCTATCAAACCCTGCAATTATGAAGTTTCTAATGAGAGATCTTTGTTTCTGCCAAACAGACTACACACTGTGCAAAAAGGTTACGAACTGATTCAACAGATGGTTAAATATAAGACAATGCCTACATGTACAGCAAGGCAAATTTATGCTGAGTCTGGACATTGGTGAAAATAAATGTTACATTCGAAATTTGCATCTATTTCTAATAAATAATCACTTACAGTTTCAATCTATTCATATTTATGCACCCATCTCCATATCTTGTTTTATTTTCACATCTCAGTGGATGAAAATTGATGATTTTAATATTATTATTTTTTTTTTTTTTACTTTGTTATCCATCTGAAGAGATCAGAATTTCTGATGTGAATTTTACATACATATATAACTGAATAAGTTATTATTAATTATTAACAGCAGAGATATGTGTCACAATGGCTAGTCATACCTCTCTGCCTGCCATACAATGATAGAAATATTCCTGAGGTCTGATCCCTGTAAGAAACCTGCCGTCCACAAACCCTCCCGCCCTGGGGGATGTGTCATAGGGAAGAAAAGAGGGCAATGACCTTCCACTGAGCATGAGAGGGGGTCGACGACCTTCCAGTTCTATCTGACCTAGAAGGCAGGAGATCTGCATACAGTTCACCTAGGAGTAAAAATATACATATAATGCAAATGTAAGATCAAATTGTGTATCATACTGAATAATGAAGAGAATTGCCACACTAAAAAGCTAATATTTTGAGAACATTATGAAAACAAGAAATGCATTTGTCTTTGAAACACATACAACAACACATTCATAATCAGAGATTCAAAGCAACTTTTCCAACAGGCATAGGGAACAGAAAAGAAGTCCTTGATTAATGCCACAATAAAGAACAGACTCTAAGCTGAAGGCAACTGCTCCATCTATGCTCCGACTAAAAATTTTTTTGAGATGCATGAGTTTATATCATGTGTTAAACAGAATTCCTATGTGATAAAAGTGAAATGAAATATGTACTTACTGATGACCCTTTAGCACCAGACTGGACCATTAACTGTAAATTATTATTTGGAAATATTTTCTGTAGCCCATGTGGTATACAAACTCTATAACAACAAGAAATAAGCAAGTCAAAGTTATGTTTAAAAAAATAACAAAATATATTGACTATCGTATTTTTTATTTATAATTTTATTTATAAATAATTTGGCTGAACAATAGTTTTTTACATAAACCCAATGTGATTTGTTTATATATATATATATATATATATATATATATATATATATATATATATATATATATATATATATATATATGGGGCATTCCGTGGTATTCGTTTTGCATTACAGANAAAAAGTGTGGCCTTACTTTATAAAATATAATATTACACATTTATGCAAAGAGTCACTATAACACAATCTCACTTTGCTATGTTATTCTGATATTCATCTGTTTTCTGCTTCATGGCCAGGTCTAGCTCCATCATGTGGCGGCCATCTCTGTTGTAATGTGCTTTCTCTAACTTCTGCAGCAGGGTTTTAGTGTCGTCTGGGGAATCTACACCCATGGCTTTGGCTGCTGCCTCATCCCCACACAGCCGAGAGGCATCCACATTCTTCTTTCTCTTCACGTCAGCCTACAAGAGAGGGGAAGAGAAAAGTCTTGAATATTTATCTTTTTTTAAATACAATACTTTATCTTCAAATATATTCACAGCAGTAATCAGCTGATAGCACTTAAAGTAAAAAGAATAAGGACAGAGCAACATTAACATATTCTTAGACGCAACACCTTGATTCAACTTGTTTACCTGTGGGGTCACCAAAATATCCTCAGGGCCTAAAGTGAACCCATGTTGCTGAAGAAAGGTTGTAAAGAGTTTGGCTAAACTTGTCAACAGTTTGCAGGCCACTACTCCTCCATATAGCTACAAAAAGAAAAGACATGTCATTCTATATTAGTATTGTACTTATCTGTGAGAAGAGAAGACATTACAAGAACGTCCCTGTGCATTATCATGTTGCATGTTTGTAGCAAGAAGACAGTACTAAGATGAGGAAGTTACATTATTCAAGTAACAAAACATTCCAACATGTACAAAATGGACAACCATTTGACATTAATCCTGCAATGCTATTACGCAGTCCCATCCATACTTGCCTCATAGCAACAGTGCACTAAACCATATGGTGTGGGTCCATAGTGCCCCTTGTCCAGTACCCCACACAGCAGTTCTCCTGACCGGATGACCACCTCAGATTCACTCATGGACTCATCCTTCAGGGCTTGTCCTCCGGCCAACCATGCCCTTGGCTGACCAGCTAACCAGTTCTGAAGAAATCAGTTTGGTTCATATCATAGGTCATGTTTAGGTACTTATATTACAAATAAACTTATTTTTTCTTGTCAAATAAAAAGTTTCATTTGTTCAAAAAAGAGTTGAATGCAGAATTGTTTTTAATAACAGTCACATAACCATTACAAAGGTGAGTTGTAAAACAAATGGAAAGGTTGACTGCATTTTAACTCTAAAATATTAATTTGTATGCTTCCCCTCTTCAATGTATTACAAGTAATGCTTGGTGCAGTTAATAGAGGAGGCAGTTTTCTAGAGAAAAAAGGAGATCCAAATAGGAGAAATTCTCACCTTGCCGGCTATCTTTGCTTTGCCATGCAGGTTCAAAGCTGGTTTGCCTTCAGGAATCAGGTTCAGCAGCACAGTAGAGAGGACCTGGGAAACAAATGATACTATAGTTAATCCTAGATAATATGTTACGTATTTTAGTATTTATCTATCATGGTGAGAGATGGTGATGACTTACTTGTTTTCCTGACCACAATTTCACTGGCTTTATCATCCCTGGTCTCAGCATCTTCACTGGTCCATATTTATCTGTAAGTGCGGCATATACAAGCTGCTGGTAGTCCCCTCTGAAATAAAGATATCATAACAAGTCTGGTAAACTGATTATTTCATGTGCTTTAAACAAAAGCTGTACATAATTTACAATCCTCAGTATCAGGTTGACAGTCATGAATAATTTATTTATTTATATTAAATAAACATTGGTTACTATGGAAGGGGATGATCCAGCACCTCATCTAAGACAAAGTGATCTTGTACCTGACCTGCTGTTCACCTACTAAAGAACCACTCTCTAACAGTGAGCATCAGGCCAAAGACCACATGATCTTGTACCGGACCTGCCACTCACCTGCTAAATAACCTCCCTCTCATTGTGAGCATCATCCCAAAGACTATGTGACCTATCACTCACCTGCTAAAGCACCGCCCTCTCATTGTGAGCATCATGCCAAAGACTGCAACCTGTCACTCACCTGCTAAAGAACATCCATCTCATTGTGAGCATCATGCCAAAGACTGCAACCTGTCACTCACCTGCTAAAGAACATCCATCTCATTGTGAGCATCATGCCAAAGACTATGTGACCTATCACTCACCTGCTAAAGAACCGCCCTCTCATAGTAAGCATCACACCAGAGACCATGTGATCTTGAATCAGGCCAGCAAGTGGTGTCCCGTCTTTGGGGACCAAGTACTGGAAGTTGGTGCTGGCTAAAATACAAGAAAACTATGTATGGAAAAACTTTTGGAAACATATCAAATATTCTAAATGTTTACAGGTAGCCATAATTAAAGTGTAACAAAAAATGGATCATATGTTATGATGACAAACAAAAAAAATACAAAAATACAAACAAGAGGATGTGTGTGAGATTACCTATTGTGTAAGCCTCAGCCCTGGCTATCTCATCTTGGACAAAGTGAGCATTCATTTCATCTCCATCAAAGTCAGCATTGTAGGCCTTACAGTTGGCATAATGAAGACGTAATGTTTTCTCCGCTGGCAACACACGGGCCTGGAAATAACATGCATGTATGACACCAAGATCTTTATGTAAAAGTGATTGTATATTCTATTTTTCTGAGTTACCAAACCTAACATAACATAACTATTATTTAAAAAAATAACACTCCTGATTATCTGTTTTGACTTACATACCTTGTGTGCCTGTATACTTGGTCTATGAAGAGTTGGCTGCCTGTTTAACAACAGAACATCTCCATTCTTTAAATGCCGTAGCACCTGTAATAATAAACTTTCATTTGATACATTAAATATATTAAAATTAATTTCCAAAGCATCATTTTCAACAAATCAGTTTGCTGCTGACACGTCTGTCCTAAATTACAGAACTATTAATTGCCAGCCCCCCAAACAAAATGTGTTATCATTTCCTGGCATGAGAATTATTTCAGTAATTGATCCAAATACACTACTGACACAAGACTTGAGACTGTTGCCCAGTTTACCTTCTTGCTCTCTGGGGGTCCATGATAAAATGTGCTTGGTGTCAGCAGTTCTTTGGCTATGGCTTCCCTCTGTCTGACATCTGTGGGGTTCAACATGATCCTGGTGCCATCTTCATTCTCAACAAATACAGCACTACAACACCAGATCATATGAGCTTATAGATAATACATGAAATGTAATAATTTTAAATCCATTCTGTCATGTTTTCAAATATTTTCAATCAATACATTTTCTTTAATAGGCCTAACAATTATAAGTTTCATTTTCAGCAAATACAGCACTACAACACCAGATCATATCAGCTGATAGATAATATATGATATGTAATAAAACAACTTTGAATGCATTCCATCACGTTTTTTTAATATATATTCATCCATATATTTCCTTTCATAGGCCTAACAATTATAACAGTTTAAAACAATTTGAAATGAAATTTTAAGTGAAAAAAAAATGGCCCATTGGTTGAAATCACAATTCGGAAGTATTTAACTTCTTAACTGTATGGAATTCAGCATCACACACTAGCTCCATTCAACTGCAGTTCCTTACCCAGGATGTTGCCTTGGTCCATTGATGACAGCTTGCCTCAGCTCTTGGACATTCCAAGGAGTGACCGGCTGAGGATAGGTCAGTTTAAGAGCAAACACCATCGGTATCCCTATCTCATCGGTGTTAATATAAGGGTCTGGTGAGATGACGGATCTAGCAGCATAGTTCACCCTCTTCCCCATCATGTGCTTCCTAAACAGACCCTCCTTCTTCTCAAGTAACTAGAAATATCATTTATGATTCACATAAGCTGGCAGCTTAACATCTAGATGAAGATCTGTCAAATGACAAGGGGATCTGTGCTTCATACAACCAAAGTCTGATAATCAATCTAAACATTTAGTTCACTCTAAAAAACATCGTGACAATAATCTTAGCAAATCTAAATATCAAGCAGGGGAGGCATTTAATTTTTTTTTGCAATGGGCTATAGAACAATTATAAGGAAAATGGTTTCAAATTTTTACCTCACCATTTTTTTTTAGAAAAATGGACTGAATATACATTTTGTTTTGGGAAAATAGTGCACCTCCTGTAAATAAGAATTTTATCCAAAAACAATTAAACTAGATAATCCTCCGTTGTTTTTTCCTGACTCTAACCTGTTTTATTCCTGGGTGTTTATCAGTGGACATTTTATCTAATTCACTGTCCACTACACAGTTCACGTGGGTTTGCATCCTGACCCAGACATTCTGTAGCTTTTCTGTCAGACTTTTCCCAGGAACACTTTCAAGAAGAGTCTGAAAGAGATAAATATACAATACACTTTAAATAATCCATGTAGACTAAATAATTTGGCTGAACAATAGTTTTTTACATAAACCCAATGTGATTAGTTTATATATATATATATATATATATATATATATATATATATATATATATATATATATATATATATATATATATATCTTGTTTACAATTATCCTTCTGGTTACTAATTATTTGACCATCATTTAACAGGTTTCTGTTTGTTTCCTCATCTACTATGCACCAACATCACTTAGTCCAGCCTTTTCTTTATTTCTCGCAATGATGATATTCAAAATTTGTTAAAACGCGGGCATTTATTTGTAACTTGTACAACTAAACACAATTAATAAAACTACAGCCCACTCACCGTTTCTTCTTCAGAGCGTGTTATATCAGCACCTTCTTTCTCTGACCTCTGAATATCTGCCAATATCTGACGTATAGTAATGGCATCTAGGAGAACTTTACAAAGATTCCCTGACTGGGGATGTTCATATTTTCTCTCTTTCATCACAGCCATCTACATTACGAAAGATAAATGTCTGTTCAATCACACATATAATCTTCTCCAAATGAATCAAACAATATTTGGAACTTTTTTTCTCTTAAAAAAGCTACTGTAATGCTTGGATTTCAAAAAAAAAAAAAATGTCACAATTTTCTCTTTTATGGTACTTACATTATAGCATGTGTATTTCAACTGAAACAGTTATATTAGTATTCTAAGACAACATTTTTACCGGCCTAAATCTGTTTGGTGCTACAGGCACAACATCCAAGAAGAAGATATCTGTTGGGTATTTGTGTGAGTTTTTCATAATTAAAGCCCCAAACAGTTTCATGAAAACTGCCTTATCATTACTCCACACTTTTCGTATGTGACTGCGTGCCTCCATAGGTGTCAAGTACAGCTGTTCGCTGATTGCAGACACTTCCTTTTCATTTAAATCTGGAAATAAGATGACCTCTCCTTACTCAACATGTCAATAATCTGTATATAAAAGTTTAGATGAAGCATTTTCTAAATCATTGATTTTACTCTCAGCACTGGCTCTAGTTTATGCCTGCTTGCTATGGAGATGTTTAAATTTAGTTTTAAGAAATCTTTGTTCTTCTCCATGTCTATTTTTACCTTCTGAAGGCTCATTCTTTTCATCTTCCATTTCGACTACTTCATCTTCCAAGTATTCAGAATTACCCTCCTGCAGGGCTTGCCTAGAAAACAAAAAAATATTCATACTTGCATCATTTTCAGATCAGAACTTATTTTCTGGAATATATTACCAACATCTTCACTTTTACACAAAATTGAATAATTTTAATTTTGAAATTCAAAAAGCATATAAATCATTCAGAATGTGTTCCCTATCATTTAGTCAGGTAAATGTAGAGTCAACACAGTTTATCATATTTCAAAACAACATTAATAACACTTGCTTTCTTTGCTGTTTCTGTCTGTTTTTCTTCTCAATCATTTCCCTGGCACTTTTTCTATCTAGTCCTTTCTGGAAAAAGATTTTTGTGTTGTGTTCTGATCGCATAGGCTTCACTGGCATCTTGCAGTGTCCACATATTTTGCCTTTTGGTATAAGGTGGTCCTTGAGAAATTGTTTGATTAGTTGCTGCTTCATTTCAGTGATGTGTTTCACTTGATAGGAGTTACCATCTTGAAAAAACAAAAATAAAATAAAAATAAGTACAGTACACTATCCCTATTGTAATTTCTTGATGTTTTACAACATTTGCAGAAAATATATCAATTGATCAGTTTTATTTAAAATTGTAGCTTTTTATTAGTCTGTTTTCAAAATCATTTTCACAAAAACAGTTAAGTCTGAGAATTACAAAGTATGTAATCTTTAAGTCAGGAATAACTTAGGCTCCATAAATAAATTACACAAAAGTTCAAAATGCATCCCTCCTGGAGTTCGTTGAAAGTATAGGGACTAACTTTTACCAGTGATTATCATCTCTCTGTATTCATTCAAAGTGCATTATTTGATGTGCTTACTTTCTATGTTCACTCCGAGTGCCGACTGGAGGCACTCTTCCAGCTGTCTCTGTATCGTATCCTCCATGCCTATATCTGTTCCCTGTTCATTCAGTACATTAGAATACAAGTCCTGCATCTCCCCTACAATGTGCAGTAACCCATGATCTAAAGCAGTCAGCTGGTGGGTGATAAGAGAACATTGGGCACCCCTGGCAAGCAATCTGTTACAAGAAAAGCATGTGCCTTTCAGAATCTGAAAGAAAAAAGAATGAAAAAAGAATTGGACAGAAAAACATACAAGCCAAGCATATAATTAAAAATGCCAAGCTTCCTCTTTACAATATACCAAGCAGACAGACACACTTATTTGGGCCAGCCTTTGATGCTGTTTGACCTAACAAAATAACTAAAACAAAAATATATGGACTATAAGGTATTGAATATTTTCCATACTTCTTAAGTTCAAGTTTAATTCTATTTTCACTAACATAACTAAACCACAGCTAATGAAACTATCAGATTATATTTACTCATTTGCCTACCTGGAATAGGTTCTTAAAGAACACAGGGTTATACACAGGTAATGGCAAGGATATATGTCCCATGTGGCCTGGACACCACTGGCTCATCTGACCACAGGTCTCACACTGGTCATCTCTGTCTTGTGGACCTGAGAGTGAAAACACCTTGTTTTACCCAAAGGATGTTGTAACAATGGTGCAAAAATTCACATTACAACTGACAGCTTTAGTCCCAAAGGATTCTTTTGGCTTTGCCTGTACATGTGATAATTGCAAAATGTGTGCATATTACACATCTGGAATTTTAATGTAAAAATAAAGTTGTAAGACAAGTAACAATTCTTAAATAACACATCAGAAGTGTACAATGCTAAAGTGCACTCTTTTTTTAAACCCTGACTGCATATACATACATACCGAGAGCTGGATCGTACAGTCCGCCACTGGTAGGGTGTTGCAGGGAATCAAATGACTGGGGGTTGGTCAACTCCTTCACACTCAGACCTAAAATCTCGTCATCAGTGTAGGTGCCAAACGTGATACCATGTGTTAGGAAGGGAGAGAAGTCTTTTGGTTCCATTAGGTGTGCTTTTTAGCAAAACTGCAAAGTACAACATGTATAAACATACATTAAATATGGACAACTTATTTACCCAAATACACACGAACTTCCACCATTTACATGTACAGTGTACATGTACTAACACTGCAAAACCCTGCTTGTTGAAGATCGAGGTACGTCAACATTTATATCAAATGTGTATATATATATATATATAATANCCCATATATATATATATATATATATATATATATATATATATATATATATATATATATATATATTATATAACTAAAATAATAATGTACACTCTAAAGGCCGTCCTACCTCTTATATTTTCAAATATTGCACTGTGTTTACCATATAACACCAGACTTAGTTCTCACAAACATTCTCCCTTCCACACGTGCAGCATCAACATTGTAATGGATCTTCTCCCATTGAAGAGTTAAACATTCAAGACAGTCCTAGTTATCTTAACGTTCCAAAGATCACGCAAGGACTCTTTGGTGACTCTAAGATCTAATATACCGTTTATTAGATCTTAGGGTGACTTATTTTTTATATCCTTTGTGAATGACATGTGCTTATGCCTGCAAAGAAAAAATACTTCGTTTTGGATTGATCTAGGCAAAGGAAAGAGCTGGTTTTGTAGCGGTTTTAGAATTTTACTTATTAATTGAATTTTCAGACCTTTACATGCAAGGCGCAATCATTTGACACTTACATGTACACTGTGGCATATGCAAAGATGCACAAAGTTACGATATTTATGATATAACAGTACACAATTTTTAAAGGTTTGGAATCACGGTGAAGCGTTTTCCGTTATTATAATTAAATGTGGGATAAATATTGGCTTTTATATTTATAATCTCTAATAAGGTAATGCAGTCGAGAAATATTACTTTCCCCAGAAAAATTTCCACAGATTTTCAAAACGGTAGTGTTAGTGGGGTATTAAAGTCAATGACATTGCTAAGGACGCCAAGAAATTTCTTCAAGAAAGAAACTACAATGTAACCCATGCAAAACTGACTTCTTTACGGTAAAAAGTAATAATATTTGTACCTAAATAACCTGCAAAGCTACTTATCCTTTCCGCTTTAGACCTTAAAAACCATAAATCCCTCTTGACAATTCAGGACACTTATTTTACTGTCAGACAGGGGTAGGGTGGGGAGGGGATTCTGTAGGAAGACGTAGGGAAGTCTGAAATACAGTAAGTCTACGTTATATGCGAAATGCACATAGGATGCTGAATAAAATACGATGGCCACACAAATACAGAGAAAATGATTGCGAAAGATGCAATGGTAACCCTGCATGTTCAACTGAACGCGAATCTGGTATTTGGAATAGTGTACAATAAACTGTTCTGGTCTTTTTCCATATCTCTATCTCTTTCCCCATAGGCTATCAGTTTAAAAACAATTTACTAAGACAGTTTAATACATGCCATCATAATAGCGATCTCACCCCCTTGCTTCATTCAAAGATGCAAAATTCAAGGTCGTAAAAATGAAATAACCCACTAACCCCTGATTGCACTGCATGCACCGACTTTATGATATATTTACAACCTGCGTGACCACTAAACAATGTCAACAATAAAAAGACATGTATGCAACGGAATTAAATAAACACATAAATAAATAAATGAATGTTGCCTGTGAATCGACTTTTTGGACAAATTATGATTTGAACTTTTCACCTTGAAGACAGGCTACAATCAACACATAATGTCCATCCATTGGGATCTGTATCGGGTCGATATTGGAGACGGGTGTGTTAGTTACGTGACATAAAACAAAAACAAAAAAAAACAAGCGAAGGCACACTCTATCAGGTACAGTACGTGCCTCCGGTAGCTGTTTATTAGCAATGAGCAGGCGATTTAATGATATTTTAAGATTATTTCGTTTAGCTTTTTTATCTTTTATAATGTAGATTCACTCTTTTACTCTCATTCTTGTATTTATTTGTAATTCTAATTAACCTATTTCTGTCTATTTATACTCATATTATACTCATATTTTTTTAAATTCTGTGTTGGTTAATGGCCACACCTCTTGACCTGACATGTATACGCCCACCACATTTTGAATTAAAACTCTGAAGCCCATCTCTTAGTTATAATGGTTGCAGCCCGCTGATGCCGTTTCCACGTAATCGAAACGCTAATTATTATCGCCTGTCTTAAGTTATAAAGTAAATATGCTATCAAATTATATCTAAGCCGCTTACTTTAGAACATTGTTAGGTCACCCAGATATCAAATTCCTACTTCAGGTATGTCATGTCAACAAACAATATAAACATAATATACACGCTGTAGTGGATAGACGCTCTTCAAACCCTCAGGTTTTATAGGTCAAAGCCGCGTCCCCTAGCAAGCTTGCAAGTTAACTGAGCGAACTCTCTTGTACCTCCACTGTAAGGCGCTGAACTTGTGTATAGACAACTGGTGAGTTTTTGTGCATACGTATTTTCCACCCTGAAGTTTTTTCATAGTGACAATTATGATGATTTAGAACCACTATTACTATGTGATATCAAGGCATCTCGGAGGATATTTACGGATGCACAAGACATGGGTTTTTCTAGTATTATTGACCTCTTTTAAGTAGCCTCAAAAACGCCAGAACTACACGCTTCATGTATAATTCGTAAAGATCAAACTCCAACCCGAACCAATCAGCGATAAAGACTATCAGCGATGCTTGTCTAATTTATGATTTCATGTCTGTCAGGTCTATAATAGTGAACATGTGATGGATAATACCGCACGATATATTATATATATCCATATATATATATGGATCGTTATATTATAATGGCTGATGATTATTGTGATTATTCTCTGATGTTGCAGGTACATAATGGCAGATATCAATATCAGCGTTAGTATCGGCGTGGTTGTGTGTGTCATTGTCGCCGAGTTGATTAGTACACTTTGGTACAATGACCGCACCCCATGGCACAGTTGGCATGGAGCGAGGTTCTTCGCGGCTGCCCTGATATCAGACGTAGGTCTGGTTTTAATCATGTCTTTCTTGACCAAGTAAGTATTCCAAAACACGTCGAGTAGAAACGTGTGATTCGCGTGAAGTGAAATAAAACATACACTGTGAAAATTAATGAACCAAGACCTTTTTTTATTCCCAATATTGATGGGAAGATTGAGTTGAGAATGGATTTTTACCTTTTCATTATGCTGGCTGATAAATACGTATCATAGATTACACATGCTCAGGTTTCACTAATTCTTTTGAAAACAAAATAATTATATATGATCCTACCATTATACAGTAAAGTTATTTTAAACTTTTGAATTTTAATAGTTCTACATTTCAAATAACTTATTTTCACTCTAGGAAGTATTACAGTGTGTCCTATCGTGACTGGGAGTCCGCTGCCTGGCTCGCGGGACTCACCGCCGCTCTGTACGCTTGTCTAGAAGCGCCCCACGTCGTTCACAATGGGCATTCTCTGAGGAACTTCACCTTCCATGTCTTCCACAAGTTTGTCATTGTGTTTGCCATCGTGTTGGTGTACGACTACTGTAATCAACACTTCTAGAAGACACAAAAACGTGTAGTGTGATTTGAACAATGACAATAAGAAGCAATCTCAAAAGTGTTTACACAACAGGTTTATTAAGAGCAGTGCTGTTCGTTTTCATAGAGATGTTACTTTCATGAATCATTTTTAGCGCTATATGGTTCTACATATGATAATTAATAACGTATTAACCATACTATAGTATTTAAATCTCATTTGTAAGTTATAGCATTTTGTTACTTGAACATGTACTACAGAGCGTAGGAAGTGAATAAATGATAACTTAATCCATTGACTGTTTTTTTTTTTTATTGTATAAATCGTACAATCGCAAAAAGATATTTCTACGTATACAATCTTTAATAAGCCTGCCTGGGCAAAGTGACTACCGGAGTGCGTTTCTCAACTAACGCAACATTAGTTATTCCAATTACATTAAACGCTGCATGACTACAGAACCAGGATTGCGTGGATTATGGGTAATTGCAGGCGTGGATTGATAAGTTATTTAAGTAACTATGACAGCTCTTTTAAGAATAAAAAATAATTTTTAAAGACGTACCATTCACACTGAACGAGAGTTCTTGATTCTTTGACATTTCAGTACCTCGCCAAATTCTTATTTTGGGCTTTATTGAACAGCGCATCTTAAATAATTTTACAAGTTATTTAACTGATTGTGTTTAAGGTTTATTCATTGTCACACCACCCGTACCGATGTATCAATATCGGTAAGTTTACCTGAACAGACGAGCAGTTTTTCTTATTTGTTTGTCCTTGTTACACGCTGCTTCATGCTGCACTCCTAGCTTGTTGATTCAATGGTGGGGGTGTCTATCCCTCTCCCTTTCTCCTTAACAACACCTTTTCCGTAAAAAAAGTAAAATGAAATAAAATAATGAAATGAAAAAAGAAAAAAATAATTTATTTTTCTACAAAAAAAAAATGACCAAAAGTTTTATCAGTGGACTCGCTCAATTGAAGTCCTTCTGCTGAATGTTCAGGACTTTCCAATACAGCCGTCTCCTCCAAAGTGCTACCGAGCAAAAAACACTTACATGTATGTTGCGCCAGGAAACACGAAAGCCAAGGAAATATTCAATGGTATACCCTTTGTTTACATAAATTCAATATCAGACAGGTTGTTTGCTCTACGGTATTCTACAAGGGCTGAAATCACTAGACATGCACAGGTTGTTTAAAGGGACTGTAATTCTAAAATTTAGAATAAGAGAAATTTTATTTGTGCTCAACTCAGTTATTGGTCTTCATTAAGAATAGAAAATTAAACAAAGCTTTAATTATATTTCTTATTTTTGGTAATAAACGTGACTTTAAGGTCATTTCCTTATAATTTTACATCAATACTTATTCATAATGTATTTATATATAATGATAAATATGACTCAACACCTTGTCGCGAGTCCTCTGAGTCCTCGACACACTGTACCTCTCCTAGCATTTAATCGACTAATTTCATTCAAATTACGTTGATTTGATAGAAATAATTAAGTGAAAGGTCCCTTCTATACAGTCATCAATTCATTTCGCTTCTTTTGTATCAACAAAGGAAATCATTGAAAGAAAAAAACTTAACTGTACGCGCAACCCAATAAACAGCTGCATCCTGGGAAATAAGAAACTTTGTGCGCATCCTTGTTGCGCAGACGGCCATATTGTCATTGGAGATTGCCTAGGACTCTCAGAGTTTTCAATTGTTAACGTGAAGTTGCATACCTTTACAGAAAAAAGAAGATTGCCAATCTGGATAGGTTACCGGAATATTTTCGGGACACTATGGACTGGTTTATGGGGTAAGATTCTCCAAGGGTGCCTTAAAACTTGCATTGTTTACCTGCGAGTTGACAGACACAAGCAGACGCATGGTTTTCTTCAGGACCCATCATCCCATGACAGTTAAAATCACGCGAGACACCCGATGTATCTTACTCCACAATCTGTACAAATCTGATCAGTAAAATCTTGCCTATATGATCCATGCTCAAACTCTCAATAATCAGTTTCTAGTTGTGTCATTGTCTCAGAATATTTAGGGTTTGATTGGTAAGTGCAGCCAAGGCATACATCCTGGCCCCTAATCTCGTCTGTTATATTGCCAGTATGTATGTACGTGCTAGAATATAATCTAATGTAATGATTACTGACACTATAAAGTGTTTGAGTGTTATATTTGTGATGCATGTTGAGAAAGTGACCATGCATACTGTTGCTATATAAGACTGCTGAGTCATTTCACTGCCTGGATAGTTTTTAACATATATCAAAGTATTATTCTTCTTTGTCAGCATTATATATCTGTGGATTGCTATCATAAATGGGAAACCAAGCAAAGCCAAGAGAGAAATGCAAACAATCATGATGAAATACATCTCTAATGGGAATATCTGTACCCCCCCCCCTCCTTTACTGAACTAGTGTAGTATAGAATGGTGATTGCAATATATTTGACAATATTTTGACATTAATTTTACATAGTAAAAATATTCCATCTACCCTTTTGCTTGCTTCCAGCATATACTTTATTGCAAACTCAACCTTTTATAAAGACTTCCACTTCCCCTTGTGTTTATTTATTTATTTATTTTATTCATTTATTTTTATTTATTTTATTATTATTATTATTTTATTATTATTATTATTTTTTTTTTTTTTATTTTTTTTTTTTTTGCCAAAAGCATTTTGCCTTCATCTTTTACTCTGGTGCATAATTCTGTACTAAGACAGATATTTTAAAAGTACTTGCCAACTAGTTCATGCTCATATATTGCTGAGGAACTCATTTGCCAAATTTTGGCAGCTATACACATCTTGGGGAGTGCCCAAAATATTCTGTTCATTTACACGCTATGCTAGTCTGAGTAATCAGTCTCTTGTGCTCCTTTTTTCTGAATGTATATATGTTTAGTAGGGTATGTCCAACGCTGTGCTAGAGTCTGAAGTCTTAAGGTGCTCATTATTAGAAAAAAATACCTGATCTTGTTCATAGTGCAATGTGACAGGTCTTTACCATGTGAGCCCTTACCTCTGTCCAGCACATTACATGCACTGCTAAATCTCTCTCTCTCTCTCTCTGTATATGTACATATGTACAGAGGTCTATCTTTTATATTCTTGGGGGGGGGGATAGAAACAAAATTTGAACCCAGTCTTGTAGTTAAAACTCCATTTATTACTCTTGAAATACCCAAATGGTTGTGGATGTTAAAGGATAAAGGTTAAAGGTGTTAAAGGATTATGGCCACTCCCTCCCTCTTTTAAATTGTTTGAAATAAAATGTAATATACAATTACTATTCTATAATAACAACTATATTCTTATTTAGGTTTTTGTGTTATAGAATTCAAGTTTAAAGTATACTTAGATCTATCCCACATTGCACATTGTAATGAATCAAGATTATACTCATTATGTACCTTCTGGCATTACAAAAATGAAGTTTATTCAATAAACACAGATATCACTGAATCTCAGAATTCAGTAAAGCAGCACTACATGTACATTGCCTGGTTTTCAAGTGTTCTATTGAACAGTTAATGAAATCAGGTACAGTTATTGATCTTATTCACTTGAAATATATTGTTAAATGAGAAATGTTAATGTAAATCATTGTAAGCTGACCTGAATGATATTTCAATCTGAAAGAATGCAGTTGAAGCAGGCTTGATTACATCGTAATATAATGCCTCTAAGAAAAAGGTGAAGTTAAAAAAAGCACCTTATAATGTTTTTCAAAAGCAATTTCTTTGCAGTTCTCTTATAGGAAAATAATTGGTACGTAATTTAGATTCAATTAGGGCACTCCATTACCATCCATATCTTTAGCCAAGGCAAGGTTTACTTCAGTCCTATAAATATGTTTGCTGGCTATTGATGGATGTGTGTACCAGTGGTCTCATCCAGTTTGAGTGTACTTCATTCAGCAGAGACTTGAAGCATTGATTTCAACTCTAGTCTTGGACATGAAATAGATTTATTGATATTCTTGGGGATTCAACCAAGCTACATATGATTCACTTACATATATCAGTATGCTCTGTTTACTGTTTCAGCTACTTTTAAGTCCAAAAATTTAAGATACTAATGTTTATTTATATATATATACATAATTCAGAAGATCATTATTTGTTAAAATTTTGTTCAGCATATATGCTAAATAAAAATGGCATATCTGTATGTGAAATAAATTGTAGGTACGCTTGAAGTTTAGATTTAGTGACTTGTTTTAAAGCAGTGGGACAGAATCTAAATATGTAACAGATTTTGTTTTCATATTTGGGCAAGGTTTGCTGTTGGGAGAATCACTGGGGTGTTTGAAATTGCCAGCATATTCTTAGGGATAAGGAGACAAGAACTCATATTTGAAGTGAAACAAGCATCCAATTCCTTGAATTTATTATTTATATATCCCATTTTTGCAACCATTTGGTGAACTGGGGTCAGCATGCCTTCAGTGTTGGTTAGTTTGTCATGGTAACAGCCATATAACATCTCAGCCCACATCATACTTCTAAATAGTTTGTATGATGTTGTCAAAACTTTTTTAATGAGGAATGACTGATTGTGCACATGTAAACATTTGAGGCTGAGGGGCAAGCAGGGAGTGAAAAGGGCCATATTGAGTTGTAAGACAGCATGATTTAATGATTGAGGCACAACTTTTCATAGCTCGGTTGTTTGTAAATACCTATTTTGTAAATTTGCTTTCCGTGTTTGGGGGAAAAGATATTGAGTGAGATGATGTGTATGTTGAATGCCTGAGAAAAGATGTGATTTCCAAGGTAGCTAATAGAACAGCCATTCATAAAACCATTGTCCTTTAATAGGCGAGCCTAATATATATGATCTACAAATAGAGTTCCACCAGAAACTGGGCACTAGGGGAGGAAGGGGGGGGTCTTGCCTTACCTTAGGACCAGTAAACTGCTGCCTGCACTACTTAATGTGAGACACATTTGAGCAAGCTCCAATAAGAGTCAGCTCAATCTATGATCCAACATGGAGGCCAGCTTGATCTATAACACCTGCTACATGGGTAGTTGCCTACATATGTCATCCATCAGTCAGAAATAAACTACCTGGTACTTATTCCAGTTATCCTCAAGGCAAGGGTAGCCTCTAGCTAGTTAGTTCACAGTGGAGGAAGCCATCATGCTTAACAGCTTGAATATTCTCTGGAAAGGGTATGTACATCTTATGATTTGTGGTCAATATTAATTGAGATGTTGAGTGGGTTCTCTGATTCAGGGGATTTGAAATGAAGGTTGTTGTGATTGTGAGAAAATAATTTGCTGACTATCCATCCAATAACAGTACAGTTACGTAATCAGAATTTTAAAAAAAGATATTTAGAAGCCCATGAAATCATTAAGATGGTACTCTTTGCCCCCAATAGCTAGTTTGGCAAGTAAATGCACATTAAATCTCAATTTTGTCTGGATGGCTAAAGAAGATTTGATATGATTTTAAAATGCTTAAGTGTTATTATTAGTATTTTCATGATATGAATTCATTATACATGTATATGTGTACATGTCCTCTGTCCCCAGCCCCTCCCCCCTCCATCCCTCAAACTCGGGGTCCCTCCCCTAACACACCTGATTGTTATTCTGAAGGAAAGGGCCATTTGAATGAATACATAAACATGTCCCTATGGATGTTGTTTTTTTAACATTAACTTATATATATGCTACTTTGTTGCTGCAACATTGCATCCAACAGCTGGGCGTTAAGTTGTTTTCTCAAATTAGCTGCAGATGTTTTCTTGTGGAGAAGAGTAATCCAATTCTGGTGATGTGGATATACGTTTAAATAGCAGTTCCACCTAGCGATAACAAGGGCGTCTTCAGGATTTTCTAAATCTTGCCAATTTATTTCCAATTTACTCTCAGAGTATGTCATCATTATTGTATTCCTTAAAAAATTCCACACTGCATTTCTGAAAAGATTCACTTATATCAACTAATTACTTCCATATTACCATAGTCTCCGAAATTTCTAAAACACAGGCTAAGTATTATAAAGCAAGATTTTTTTTTTGTCTTTCTAAAAATCCTAGTTCTTCTACAGCTTTCACAAATTTTGTATTCCATTATTTTACTATCTCAGTAATGCATCTACTTTCACAGCTAGTCAGGTAGCTGATAATGCCACATCTTGTAATACTTTTCTTAAGTAATGGCGTACAAATGCAGCACACACCATATCAAAACAAAACTCTGTGTACCATTATTGGGGATATTTGGGGGTGTATGTCCATTCAGCTAAACAAGCCTAATAGGCAGGCCTAGGATGGAAGAATGGTGCCATGAACCACACAGGAGTACAGGCCTGGAGTGATGTTGCCTCCATGGCAAAAGACACCTGGTATTTGGCAGTCTATTAGTAGATCACTATCCAGGTCTATCAGGGTTGAACAGTGTTGGTCATTTTGCTCTATGAATAGACATTTGTAGACCCATTATTTTAAGGAAGAATGAATTTTATGGACAGACACTGTGCCTTGACACATAGCCATCACCTACATCCGTGATCGCCATTGCTGTGCATTTTCCTAGAAACTTGTAAACCCCATAAAGGAAAATCATGTTACTTAAAATTCTCATATTTACAAGAATGATTCAAGGACCTTAATTACATCTTGAGTTCACAAACAGCTTTTTCTTCAATTAATGTCTGTTTATTTCACAGCTTTGCTGCCTTGTTTTCTTAAAATAAATGTAGAAAATACTGTTGATCACTGTGAACTGTTGACACTTGATGATTCTAGGAAAATATGGTAATTGAAGATTTTTTTTTGCATTTCCTCATTTACACTGTGGTCTTCATACAAGTGCATTTGTTTGTCTGGTTGCCTCCATCTTTTATTTGCATAGGGAAGATAATGATCTAGTCCTGGGCAGATTCCAGACATCCATACTTATCCATACTATTCTGGGCTACTTTTGAAAATCCTCCAAACCAAGAAGTTCCCCAAAATAGGGTATAACATGAAAAATTACATGCCTTTAAAACTATATTTCAGAATTGCCATATGTATAATATTTGCTAGCAAGGAAAACTGTCATTGATTATTGGTTTGATAATGGTTTCTCTGTGAAAGTCTGAAATGATTTAAACACTTGGAATCAGCAGGCGTTTTTTCCAATAATGTCTTGAATTATGGAAACTTTGCGTGTACTTACAATTTCAGGACATTTGATCACTATTATGGCAAGCTGTGCTTGTAATAGATTGTTGGCCTATGTATGATGGGAATGTATCAGGATAAACCATCTTTTTGAAGGATGGGGATACTATTTGAGTCTGTGTTCTATCATTAAAACAAACATTTTAAAAATTGACAAATTTGTATTACTGTAGTGTGTGCATGTGTGTGTTTGGGGTAAGTATGTGGAACAACAGATGTCATATGGACATCTTGAACTCAGTTTGCCCTGTCATGACATTTACACTTACTGAAGAACCACTTGAATAAACATGTTACAATGACTTTTTTAACAGAATTTCAGCAATTTAAATTCATGTTTTGGTGAGATGAATTAAGTGATTATTCTTCTTATTATTTTAAATGCATATTTACATTTCTTTGGGAGTGAATGGCAACACAGATATTTATTATTATTTATTTATTTATTTTTATTACTATTATTTTATTTTATTTATTTATTTATTTATTTATTTTTTTTTTTTTTGCTGTTTACCACTGCTTGTTTATGGTCACATTATCACTATAAGAATGGTAATGAAATTCTGTCCCCCCCCCTTACAAAATGTTACACCTTCATTAACGGTATTATGTCCCCATTTTGACTCCAAGATTTTATTTACATTGGGTTTGTGTTACCTGAGTGATGGTGTATATAAACCATTGAATCCAACTCTATAGTATTGATCTGTCTTATCCCAGGCATCAGTGCTTTTACGTTCCAGCTTTAAGCTGCTTGCATCATAATTGTGACACAACTGTCACTGTAATGTGATTAGGGTGCCTAGAATGATGTAAGGTAATACATTTAAAGAACTTATCTGTTGTGCTGACAGTTGTAATGAAACACACAAAAACTACATCCCTGCAGTGGTTTCCGTATGTATGATAAAAATATATTTGGGTTGCTGTTGTAGCAGTAGTGGAACATTGGGAAGATAAATGGGGAGAGGCTTGCTTGATGCTGCTGATATATATTTGATTAGTTCCTTCCATGCATAGCTAAACACCTTGATACTGTTTTGAACTTCAGGTGGTTATAAGTAAGGCTGTTTCTGTTCCGGTATTAAATTACGAGACATCACATACATGAGAGGAATATATTATAAAAGAATTAAACATGTTTTGAGGTACAAAATTTTACTTTGTATGAAAGTACAGTTTGTGCGCTGTATATATTCTATTGAGGCATGGCGTCAAAATGTCGAAAGGTTTTGTTCTCCTGTTTGTATGTCACAATAATGGTGGTGAAAACTAGAAAGGAGCTACATTGAAATTGTGTTATTTTTGGAGAAATGTGTTGTGCTTCAGGTCAGGAATCATCAAGGTGTCTTAAACTGTTACTTCACGTGCACTTTATCCTCTCTACCAGCATATAATTAAATTGACTCTTTCAGTATATTATTTAGGGTTAAAAGATTGCTTTAAAATGGGCCAGCTGAGGTCATGTCTTCCAACTTTACCTGTTTAGGGTAAGAAAACTTGTTCACACCAACTAGAGCATGTCTAAAAAACAGTTGGAAAATATATGTTGTCTCCAAAGTTAAATTCTGCCCATCATAAATCACTTAACACCATTGCAAAAATAGTGTATAAACGTAGTTATCTCGGGGTGTCCTGCCTCTGTCACATGTAATGGGATGTACATGTGCCCTGCATAGGTCAGATAGTAGGTGACAGTTTCTGCTGATCAGGTTTCATAGGTTGTGTAACTTGTCTGACAGTTGCACTGACAGTGGCACAAGCTAAACTGACTACACCATTCATTTCAACTGTAACTTGCTTAGACCTGTCTATATAGGCCTCTGTGATCACTAGCCAGATAATTTCTAGTCAATTACCAAATTTCTGAGGCAGTTTATTTTATTCTTTATATAATTTTATTGACTGATTTTAATTTTTTTTATGCATTTATTTTTGTGGATTTGAAATGTGGATAACATAATCCTTATATTGGGATTGGGCTTTTGAAAAAGTTCATTGTGAAGTGGGGGGTAAACGTAAATGAAATAAAATGATGCCTTGGGAGATGTTCTGGTTTATTACAAATTTACAGCATTTTATGGTAGCTGTAAAATATTGGGCTGGGCATCATACACAAGCTTAATGCACTTGTGCTTGACCCTATTGAATTGTGGGGCTGGTGTCATTTCTTTGGTTAACATGGATGCTCTTTATGTGACACTTGACAGTGTTGGTGTCAGGTAACATCTCATCTCACTCCAAATGAAGCCTTATTCACTCCCATTTTAGATATTCTACTTCCAAGAAAGGAAATCCTGTATTTACATACACAGATTTAGTCATGTCATCGGTTAGATTACTCTGTTTACAGAAAAAGCCCCAACCAGTTTCACTTTGTAAATTTGAATAAACATCTCACAAAAGATGGCAGTTCTCCAGGCATTGGCCAGCTGAGATCACCTGATGTGGACAGTGAACTGGCAGCTCTCTGTGGCTGGCACTGCAGGTGATCTCTTCATTTCCTCACTTCCTCCACACACATCACACACTGCTCCTGATTGACTTAGTTGTAGAGTTAAAGTTAGCAATGATGTCACTGGTGCTCAGCCCAGTCAGCTGCTGATATTGGCAACCTATTGATAAGGGCACAGTTGAAGGTGAATGTATGGTAGGCAGGCAGTGAATGGGCCAATACACACAGGATGGAGAGTGGAACTTTAAGATGTTTATGCTGAGTTTATGGTAAGAATGTAGTGTATGGGAATGTTTTTTTGTTTTTTATTTTTTGTCAGTAATGTTTGGTGTAGATATTGCCCATTACACAGCTTGGCAATTGTGATATGTGATAATAGAGTTAACCTCTATATTCACCAGTATAAAGATACCTGGATCATGCAGGTAGATTGGTAACTGTGACTTTGTATACAGTAATATAAGACCTGTATTATTCAGCTGTGAAAGGAGGATTAATATATACGGTATATACTTGTGCACTATTCTCTAGAAAGAGATGTGGCTCCAGGTTTGCACACTGACTTCTTAACTTAGCAGGATTTCTCTGCAAACTCTTTTATTGGAGTATGTACACAGTTTGTGTTATCTTGGTCTTACTGTGCACACCATGCAAACAAGGGAGCGGAACCAGTATCAGGGAACAGCACCTTGCCGATCTAACCATATCCTACCACACGTCAGGCTTTGAACAGTAATAATCATCACAGTTGTTTATTGATGTAAATGATGCTAGACAACAGCTTGGCAAAAGGCAGAGTACAAGGACTAATGCGCTATTGACTTAGCCATAAATTCTTTGTATTGATTTTATCCTGAGTGCACAGATAGTAATATTTTCTCATATTGTGCCGTCAGAGATAATATGTCATGGCTAGATGATCAGGCTAAGTAGTCCAGTGCTGTAGGGTAGGAGTGTAAAAAACCAAATCTTCATGCTGGAACCTTAGCAGAAATTGTCATCATTCCAGCAACTGTGTTGTGTCCGTGTGTTCGTTGGTAGGTGAATGTGCATGCTATACTGTTGTATTTCATCATATTTATAGATGTGTTGGGTTTTTAAACAGTTGAGCAAGAAATTGTGCCACCACACCCACATTGTACAGTATTCATGAAAGTATAGCATTTTTACTGATATAACTTTGTTTTTGGTGAAAATTTAAGTTACTCTGTTATAAATATGAACTTTATAAATTTGTCTAAGGTACTACAAAGTTGAAGCAGGGTATCTGAGATATTTATTATATTATAAATGTATTATTTATCATATATAAAAAATTCAGATTTTTCAGTTGAGTATTTTATTATTGAAAGCATATTGGGTTAAGTGTGCATTATCAAAATAGTGTGTGGAACTTTTGACTTATATCGGGATATTTGCATTTATTGTTATTTTATACCAGTGTGTTTTACCTGGAGACACTGATTGTCAAAACAAATATATGATCTATAATTGAAAAAGAGGAAATTTTTATTGTGTTCTTGGTGAAGTTAGTGGTGGTGTAATTTTTTTGCCATATGTTTAAACTTGTTCGTCAATCTCCTTTTTATTGATATTTTAGGAAAAGTCGTAGGAAGGACAAAGACTCCCCTACACCAGTCCAGGAGGAGCCAAGGCAATATCTAGAAGACACACTAGTAGCGGAGTCCATTGCTGCCAAAGTAGACTTTGAAAAATTGGTCCGAATCCCTGTAAATATAGACCGAAATGAATGGCTGGCTACAAACAGTAAGTTTTTATTGAAGATGTGTGTGTGTGTGTGTGTGTGTGTGTGTGTGTGTGTGTGTGTGTGTGTGTGTGTGTGTGTGTGTTAAGAATGAATGTGCTCTTCAATCAATTATTCATTTCTTATATTGGAAGTGCAGCTTATACAGCAGAATAAACTGGGTGGTTTTGAAACCAGCTGCTGCATATGATAATCAGCTTCTAAGAGGCATAACAACAGTAATGACCTGCTATATTCAGATAATTTTCTTAGAATGGAAAGCTGTGGGATAATACTACGTGAGTACAACATCCTCTTTAGATAAATCATCTATGTGGAATTGCCCCAGATAACTACCAGCTGAGAAGATGGACAAATGGTAGAGGGGAGGCTGTGTAATCTTTGGGGTGGGGGACTTTTTTTTTTTCAGTCAAATAATACCAAGCATCATAGTCAGATACATATGCTAATATTGACAGAGCTTTTTCCAGTGTGTGTACGTGTGCATTAGCAGGAAGCTTCTATCATTAGCAACCATAGTTCAGTGTAGGTTTAATACTCTTGGATCACAAGAAGTCAGCATGCAGTACAATTTAAGTATATTTGAATAGGAGGTACTGCTTTATTCTTGCATCAGCTTTGAATTTTCTACCTTACGTAAATGAGGCTTGAGCAAACTGTGCCAGGTAATGCAATAATGCAACATGATACATTGTAACACTGATTATTGTTATGGTCAATAAACAGTGTAACAACATTTCCTGCCCTTGGGGGACTTTTATGCCACAGGTGTCCAGTTGCAGCACCTCTTTAACACTGTGGCCCTGTGGTGTATGCTATACATCATATGATCAGCTGAGTAGACAGTTTTCAGGTGTTGTTTTTGCGTGTACCTGGACAGAGTGCAGACACCATGCAATCCTTGTGACACTGGCCTCTTCTTAGATGGCAGCAAGGGTGTTCAAGCTGTGAAGTCAAGTGAAAAGAACCAGTTTTCTTACAATGTTGAATTATCCACTGACTGCCTTTTAGTACTTCAGATTAGGCAATATTTCACAGTGAAGCAATCGGGTGTGGCTGGTAGATTTAATTGTGGATTTCTGGTTGTTTGAGTTTTTTGTTGATAAACTTTTAAGTGAAAGATAACTTTTTCTGTGCCCATTGCGTATTGTAAATAACCAATATGGCATCCATCTGCAGTATGGCAGATATAATGAAAACTTTTTAAAAAATGGATGTTCTTAAATTTGTTGCTGGTCCCTCTCACTGATTGATTTCATTTTTCTACTGACCCTTGAAAATGTTATAGATCATGGTTCGGTAGGACTGACAGTTTCACAATGACTGGAATGGTTTTCAGATATTTATTAAGGATAAATAAAGTTAGTTTCTATAATAATAATAATAATAATAATAATATAGCTTTTCTTTACATGCAATCATTCCATATTGTATTTATGGTCCTTTTTCTTTCTTTTACAGCAATATCATTCTTTGAACATATCAATCTCATGTATGGTACAATATCTGAGTACTGTACACCGGCTGGGTGCAACTCCATGACAGGTCCTGGTGGCACGTAAGTACAGCATGGATTGTACAATAATTGGTTCATGATAGTGCGCACTTGAATGTGAGAATTAGTCAGCTGCCATGACAGTAAGTGTCCACTGTCTTCGTGATGGTAAAAATGTGTCTGTATGTGTGTTATAGTAGTGAGGCATGTAAAGGCTTTGTTGTATGCTGCAGAAGGGGGGGGGGAGGGAATGAGGGGACCCCTTTCTAAAATGGCAGAGATTTAGATCTCATTTCTTACCAAAAGGTGAGGAAAGACTGGTCTGATGTCAGTAGAAGACTGTTGAGGTGGAGGGTCAAAGGAAAATGCCCCTTTCCTTCTTGATACCCTGGATCTGCCAGCGTACATGTAATGGTGAATACATGTGTGACTGTCTTCTGTCAATTTGGGACGCTGTCTTTGAAACACTCCATCATGTGTGAAAGATCCATGTAGCAAACCTGATAACCTGTCACTAAAGGACCAGCCATATACCATTTTCAGCATATTGCTTATCAAACCCAACCAACACCAGCAGCCACAATGCAAACAGGGAATGATAACCTATTTATTTTGAAACACTATAGTGGTTGTTTTGCAGCATGTTTCAGTTGGTCCTATGAAATGTCATCTGGCCTGACTCAGACTGAAGATAATTTGAACATAGATTATTGGATTCAGCATCAAATGAGATGGAGATTGCACCTCACCCAGGGTTTTAACTTACCTGTTCAGTGCTATACAGTTTAAATGTATCTTCTTGTGTACCTGATACCTGCCTGGGGGTGAAATCAGGGAAACCTTGCTCTGATTTAAAAAATAAAATGAAGAAATTCAGTAACTTGGTGTATTTAACACTGATATGCATTTTTGCAACTGACTTTTAGAATTTTTGTTTTCGGTAAATTTGGATCATAATATTAACCAATAAATCAAACATACCTGTGTCATCCATAAAATAACTGAATGTTTACTTGATTTACAGTTAAAAGTATTCAACAAATTAAATAATTTGGTTTTACTCTGTATTTGAATACTAGAAATATTTTAGAACAAACATATATGGTGGAAAGTTTTGAGATATAATTGTGGATGAAAGAAGCAGCTTGATCAGTTGAAGATTAAACATGTGGAAAGTTTGCTAATGACAGATAGTGGTCCTTTATGTCTGAAGAATTTCTTATTTTTAATGCGTGGATGAAAGTTTTCAGTGCAGAGTGAAAGTTTTCAGGATTGTGCCTGATTTCAGGATTTGTAGTCTTCATATTGATCTTTTTTTTTTTTAACATGCTCTAAATGCAATAAGAAATTGCAAGCTACATTTTCAGAATTTTCAGTATTTACAACTTTCACCCATGTTAATTTGATGTACCCTATAAAATGTAAATAAAATGTTTGGAAGAAACATAACTAGATGGTTATGTTAGTCTAGTTTCTTTTTCATTCTTTTTCATTTAAAGGACACTATTTTAAGCACAAAAAAACTGTGAATCACCAAAGGTGATATTTGTGGGACATTAAAGTGCTCTTTGTGATTTTAGGCAATATTTGTGGTTTGATGAGAAAGGGAAGAAGTGCAAATGTGCTGCTCCACAGTATGTGGACTTTGTGATGACATTTATACAGAAAACAATCAGTGAAGAATCGGTCTTCCCCACAAAATATGGTAAGTACCTTGTTCATGTAGCTATACACACTGTTATTCCCAATAGTATGGCACTATCCAGTTCAATAGCTCTTTTTATGACTGTCATATCTTATGTAAAGGTCACTGGTTACATATTCAATTTGAGTCATCGTTTTTTTTTTATGATTGTGTATTTGTGATGGTTTGATGTACTGAATATGAATTTTTTGTTCATAATTGTTCTCAGAAAGTCCAGAACAATTTCGTGAGACGTTACAGAGAATTGCATACTCATTTGCTTCTCATTTATATATTTAATTAATGATAGTTTCTCAGTACTCATTGGAATATTTTATGCCCTGAGAAGTATTACACTCAAGAGGGGTGTCATTTTAAAATAATTTCTTGATGAAGACCTATTTTCTCTTTCAGGCAATCCGTTTCCCTCATCATTTGAAGTACTGGTGAAGAAGATACACAGATACTTGTTCCATGTCTTGGCGCATATATATCATGCACATTATAAAGAAATGGTGACGTTTGGAATACATGGACATCTGAATACAGTGTTCAAACACTTCATGACTATGAATAAAGAATTCAAACTTATTGATGAGAAAGAGACCGATATTTTAGACAGTTTGTGTCGATCACTGGAAGTAACAGAGAAATTAGCTGACAGAGACCAGACAGAAGACAAGGAAAATATCCAAGGTGCTACTGCCGCAACTGCTGTATCTTAGTAATCGCACATGTGAAGTTGCCATGTATCTATCTGTATCTTCAGGATGTGTCCTAATGCAGCAGCCACTGCAGTTATGTCATTGCAGGAACACAGAGCAGCAGCTTATGTTTTTGGTCTGACCAGGCTTGGCAAAAGCATTGATTTTGCTTTGAGAAGACTAAATGTAGTAAAACTGCATCTATTTTGTTGTGATCAGAATGCTGTGTCACAATGGCTGGAATAGCTGCTGTAGCATACATACTGTGGTAATAACTGCATTTGTTATCATGGCTGCGTAAGGTGCTGCATTGAAACCGGTCTTTTATTGTTTTGTGTTATCTTGTTATATGATACATATTGAATGATGATAGCTCTTGATAGCTGTATTGTGAGCAAATCGCCCAAATAATGTTATTGCACTTATGTAAATGTTTATAGGGAACTGCCTCTGAAGTTTCTATCTGACATATAAATGTTGTATTGTTGGTATATCCAGATAACATCCAACATGCAGTGACATAGTCATGTCTTCAGTATGCATCTATATTAAAGGGTTTGTATGTATACAATCCAAAAGAGATATCCATATTTATTGTGCTTTGCCCAAAACACTTAACACTCTAGTTAGGGAAATCTTGTTATTAAATGCAGCATTTCGTTTTGTTGTTGGGAAGTAGATCAGACTCTTTTGCTTGATTGTTATCTGCACTTTTAAATTAAGATTATGATTACCGTAGTATGTTTCTGGTGAAGGTTTGCCAAAGCTCTCATAAATGTCTGATTATTTTTTTTCCGAAATATCACGGCCCTTAAAATACTGCCTCCAAGCTACTTCTATTCCTTGTTGATCTTAAAATGGCATACTAATTAAAACCCAGTTATACTAGTTCCCATTGGCTTTAATTCTAGCAACTGGCTTTCTTGTATAAGTTGTGAAACATTGGTTCATGCTGTTGTTTGTTCACTAAGCTACAAACCAAAGCTTTGAAAGTGCTGCTTTTATTTGTGCAACAGAAACCAAATGCACTAAAATAAATCCAAAATGAGAGGCCAAAGATAAGGAGTCACGAACTTGCTAGTATTTTATTGGCTATGTTGTACCAATTTAATGGTGTATTTGTACAAACAGTACACAGGTGAAGTCATAGTATCCAAGTTTTCTGCATACAAACCCAGGTTTAGGTTGTGATGGTTTTCATATATACTAGGGTATTATGTACTACCCGGGAAAGGGGGGGGGTGAATTTTGTTCAGCTAGTTGTAATGATATTGGAGCTAATATATTCTTTAAAAAGATATAGGCTTTGTGCATTGGTTTCAGTGTTATCAACTGAAACCACTTCAGTACATGTCAAATTGTTATTGACATACACTGCTCTGATTACTGGTTGCACATGCTTTATTTAAAGAGTGCACAACTTATATTATGTTTAATTTATTTGTCAGTTAATGTTTACAGTGTATGATGTATACTAATCAGAATTGTGCCATAAGTTGTTTTTTCTCTTAATAGAAGACTATAATAAATTACAGCATACAGCCATTTTGTTAGTCACTGTTTCTTATAAAGCATGTCTTATTTCAGGGAGGGGGCTTAAAAGAACCATCATTTTGGTTGGAAAAAAGCCCTCTGAATTGAAATATGATCTAGGATCTATGTACTTCCTCAAGTCAACTAAGGGAGTAAAGATGTCCACTTTTTGAGAAAAATGGCCCCTCTGAAAACGCTGCTACATGCCTGTATACCCTTTATATCCATTGACAACAACCACGTGTATCCAGTATCCATTTCCCCCACATGTCCATTGGCAACCATCACATGTATCCAGTATCCATCACTCACTTAAATCAATTGTAACAATCTCCTCTACTCCATAGCAAAATAAACTGCCTTCCCAATTGGATAAATTAAATTTCTATTGAGGCATGACCAAAAGGTCATACCGAAATTGTTCTGTTAACATGAATATTTTGTTCATGAAAAATATTCTTTAGAGAGCGCTTTGGATAGACGATATGAATGAAGTGAGAGAAGAAGAAACGTGGGTTTTGCTTATCTGCTGCGAAAGTTGTTTAATGTAAACTAAGATCTAAAAAATGGTATATTAGATCTTAGATGTAAATCACCAATATTCTCTTTTGAGTAGTATTTTCAAATCAATTCATGCAAGATTAGTAAGAATAAAAACAAATCTGCCTTTGAAATTGGTAAACTTATCATACATAGCCAAACGGTGTTAATAAGCCTATTGCAACGTTTTAATGGCAAATTTTGCAGTAGCACAGATTTTTAGCCTTTGTTGGGATGATGGAAGTTCTCCAAAGAAGTTATATCTAGGGTTTATACATGGATGAGGGCAAGGTGGCTTCACAAAAAGTTGAAACTTTCGTTTTCCATTCACGTGTGGTATATGTTCAGAGACCATGCCATATGTTAAAGTCGTGTTGTGTTGCGGCGATGCAGGATAATAAAGAGATTGAACGGTGAAAGTTGCTCATGTTATTATTTGAATTTTGCATTTAAACGTCAGTAGCAGAGGCGAGATGCACTTTTAGTGCATAGTCCAATTGACACTCACATTTTGATAATAAGTAAATCTTGTGTGGAAAGCTTTATTTCACATTTCTGGACACAATGAGTCGAACTTCTTTTTGTACCTAGCATGTCAAGAATTGCCACTTGGCACTATAACTGGCACATTTTTCGAGTTCTGTTTTTTCTAAACGAAGGCGGGATTTTATTTACATGCCGTAGGTACATTGCACGCGTGAAAGACTCGGACGTTTTTGTTCTTCCCAAACTTTGTTTGAAATTGGTCTCGTTGACAGAATTTGCACATGCCTCAGTCTTTTACGTTGAATGTGCATAGCCCAGAGTAGACGATTTGAATGAAACGAGAGAAAAATAGACGTGAACTTTTCTTACCTGTTGCAAAACTTGTGTTTAATGTAAGTGACCAAATATGAAGGTATGATGTTAGGTTAGTAAATAATATTTGAATGGTAGGGAATGAAGTTAATGTCATTCGTTCAAACCGTATAAGAACCGGCGGTTTTTTCCAATTTTGAAGGTACAGCCTTGTTGATAATGTGGTTATTTATAGCGTAATAGTTCCACACCCAGCTCTTTACCTCGCGTAGGCATTTTCCATTGGTTTTTGACTTGATGGAGTTCTTTAAAATTGCGACACCCATATCTTGTTACAACCGTTAAAAGGGTAAACGACTTAAAAGGCATGGAGTCGAATTTTGTATCATAATAAACCGATTTTTGTGATTGATGCCCATTATATGACGTAAACATGCTAAATTTGCAATATTTGATCTTCATAAAAAATTAAAATTTGAAGTCATGCTAGCGCTGAGGGTTTTTTAATTGAAAAATGCATTGGGATATATATATACAATGTTTCAAATGAATGAATAGAAAAAGCATAAAAGTAGACACGCGGCGTTTGACTTTAAATAACTATAAATCTATAATATAAATCCTTGATATACAAGCATTTAAGACGCATTCGAAGATTAGGAGTACGTCATGTTATTCAAAAGAATTAAAAAATAGTAATGGTTAAATAGAAAAATAGAACCCAAAGCACTTTGTTGTATTCCATATTAAGTTACTTGCAGTGAAAGAAGGAGGGGCGCCGTGGGCCAAGGGTCGTTATTTAGTAAGGAAAAGCTTTGCAAAGAAAGTCTAGTTTGCTATTCATTGCAGTGCGCAGATGTGTCTAGAATTTTTATCACGTACTGATCATTTACTTGACTTGGTAACATGCATTTTATATCCAATATCTCCTTCAGTTTTTTATATTGTGCAAGTTCCATCGGATGATTCTTTCTTTTTTATAAGTTAATGTTTATATTCTGATAACTTTGCAGTACATGTCAATAGATTATATAAATGTTTTCACGAGCAACTATTCAAATAAAACTGGTAAGGTGTGCATGAAGGGGTAAAGCTCGGACCCGGTTTGGTCCAAAGGTAAAGTTTGGAAATTATTGGCAAAAATACATGACCTTTGCACGATTCTTGCATTGCAAATTGGCTTACTTTCTTTTAGGAATGTTTTAACCACTTATTTGAAAACAAGTGCGGAAGAACTTGTTCTATCTGGGTACGTATAACTGAACGACAGATCGTATCACAGTATCACCTAAGGTATATACGTAAAGACGCACCTGAAGAGATAAACTTTGTATAAAAACCCCAGCTTTCGACACATTTCTTTGGGGACCTTGATTTTTGTAGACGCGTTTTTAGTTTAACTGTTTGTTTCTAAAACCAAATCAAACTGTGATTATGATAAATCATTATAGTATCAACTGATACGCAATCCGTCTCACCTGACACAACGGGTCGCACTGTAAGGCACGCGGCACACTGAGCTGGTTTCATAGAAGCTGTAGCCTGAAATCTGGTCAAAACCTTTAGACCAAAACTTTTGTCAACTTTGACCCAAGACAAATCGATATATCAGTCCAATCGAATGAACTGCTGCACCCGTTTTACAATAAGAGAGGCACGGCTCGTGTTTCAGATCAGTTCTAGCTTGATTTTTAGTGGACTACTATGGATTTATCTTGAGCTGAAGTAGACCAGTTTGGAGGCTGTTGTAAAACCGTCCCCATAACCACCAAATGTTGACCTCAAGCCTAATGGTGCGTTGGGGACACGGTGTCACTTTCACGAGAACACCACTTATCACTGCCACAGTTGACATCGAACCGCTGTCTGTACCAGGGAGCAACTCTGACAGTAGAAAACAAATCGTAATGGGAAATTAATTTCCATGTGAATGCTATAAAAGTACACACTTGTAAAGCGTTGCCCAGTGGGAGCAAGAGTTTAACATTTGTCAAATGACGCTGTTTAAATCAAAGGTTAGGATTGTGAACAAAATTTGAAGTAGAAAATATTGAAGTGTTTATAACTTTTATTTTTATTACTTTTATTACTTTAAATAAACAAGTCTCTCTAGATTATACACTTACTGGTGTCAAGGAATTAGAAAAGATACCCAGTTCCTTGCTATTACGTAACCTTAGCGTGTGCCAGCACGATGACGGCGATGGACCCGGCTGTTGATCTGTGGGTTGCAAAGGCCAATTTAGTCCACAGGTGACATAATTCCATTCATCAAGGGATGCACCTGGTCAAAGAGGTTTTACTTGCAGTTCACACTGGGTTACTCTAGACGTTTGCTTTTATTTCAAAATATGTCCTCAAAAGGAAAGAAAAGAGATGACAGCTACATTCCAACACCAGCGCTCCTTAGTTTTTGGAAAAGGGTTTTTAAGGTGCCAGATAGCAAACTGAGACCGTTTACTCAAGTCCCCATACCCCGGTTGTCCATTAGAAGGGTTGAACAGTCTTTTCAACGAGTTGGGATCAAGATCTATACATTGCCGTATTATACTATATATCATATATGACGTTGTGATATCGTTTGATCAATTTCGCCAAAATCAGTCGCGTTTTTTTTTTTTTTTTTTTTTCGCGTTTTATGATCACTGTAAGCAAAAATACATTTAAAACAATTGAAGCCAACGTATGTATTGAAAAGAACACGAATATGAAAGCCAATTTTTTATTGAGAAATATAGCATTGTACATATGAAGGGTACATCCTGTACAGGTTTACTGAGAAACACCACATGACCTTAATATGACACCGAAATCGTCCACGCTCGACATCTTCTCAAGAAAATGAGAAAGGTGTGTCAATATCTCGACAATCTCCCTGCGAACCGTTCTGGTCCGCACGCCCTTGCTCATCCGTGGTCGGGTACACACACATTACAAGACAGCATCATATGAGCATTGCTGCTCTAAACACAACGTGATGGCTATAGTTGGTCATGTAATGTAGAAATTATGCAAAAAGAAATGATAAGCACTATTGTTAGGATTTGCTTGAACTCGTCGTGTAATAATGATACACGTGCATTTGGCGTTGTGGATCATATCCTGTTGTTATATACGCCATGGTTGGACTATTCCTATTGACCGCCCACTTTTCCCGTTTTTTACGTCTACTACCCTCATTTAAAAATGAAAATATTGCATAACTAAAGGCTATTATTTTTATTTCAATCACGGAAAGAGGCAAGACCATTTTAGAAATGCGTGTGGTGAGTTAAACATGTTTCAGTTGAAAATGTTCGAAATATTCAAAGGCTACGAGGGTAGAGAAACAGTCTAAAAAATGGTGCCGATTCCAGTTTTTGCATAGCTATGTAAGAATGGAATAACATTAACAGATTAATACAATAAGGAATCACAGTGTAACACAATATCAGCAGCAGTCCCCACAGTGTGTGTCCCTGATCATGTTGTATGAGTGCTACTTACAATTTGTACAGTTCTAGGGGTGACCATGCCTGTAAAAATTATGAACAAAATATAACGACATTTAGTTTTTATCCGTCGGTTAGTAAAAAGCAGAATAGCATCATCTGTAATGTTTTATCCGTCGGTTAGGATAGGATTTACTTGAAAACTCATAACCAAACTCACAGAACTAATATACATGTATACTCCTATTAACGGAAAATATATCATAATAAACTATTAATTACTATAATTATTGCTGTTGTCATCATTATCATAAACTTAGTGCGGACTTTCGTCTCAAGAACCATACACTTATTGTTTTGTCCCCGTCTTCGTATATGAAGCTATGTTAGATTCTGCCGAAGCCTGGTGAAAATTGCTTATGATGAATTTTAGATAAAACACATAAATAAGGTTCAATGTAACAAAGGTAACATGAATTCATGACTCTGATATTCCAATGTAACGTAATTAAAAAAATAACAAGGTACGTTAAACAAGAATATAATACGTTGCCGTTGTTCCGACTACCTTATATGAACATAATATAACATGTCATGTTGTCTGAATCAATTCATAGTGATCAGTTACCCAGGTCAAGGCTGAGGTGTACAAGGTCAAGGTTATGCTGTCCCAGGCCAAGGCCACAAGTTTAAAATTTAGTCTTTTAAAACTATTAATAATAAATAGATTAATATTGTTGCAATTTGGCTCCCTTAAATCTATTTCATTTGTGTGGAAGGGTTTATTGTGTATTGGTAAAGAAAAGGCCATCTAGAGAATTACCTTGCCACTGGTTCTTTAACCAAATAGTTATTTTACTATTAAATTGGAACCAAGAATTCTTAATGGCTGGGACTAAATTTGAAAGTATTAAGAATTAGCTCAACTTATCACCTACATCATATAAAGGACATACTTTTCTGGCTAAGCCCCATTCGTAATATACCAATTACTAGAATCATTGGATTTTTAATTAATATGCAGTTACCACTCCAGAAGTGTAAGATATAATTTCCCCTTTAATTAGCATAACAAACTTGTGACTAAATATAGGTAAATATGTACACCTTAAATAATTGATTTACATATTCTTTTAATCAGGTTAAGACACTTTCCCGTGGGAATGCCTTTAGCATATTTACTACGAGATTTGTGTTGCGGCGTGCTTCAAACAGCATCAAATGGATGCCTAACACGATCTTTCAATACTTTTCCAATTAAAGTCGATACACCCACACCCAGGTGTGGTAGACTTGAACCCGGTAGCACCGAATCTAACAACGCCCCTCGAAAGAGAAACGTCTTCGTAGGAATGGACTTAAAGGACTTAATAACTACAGTCCGTCTTTATGGCTTCCTTCCTTCTTATCACTTTCGGCCCTGAAAGGCAAAAACAGGTTTATCGTTGTCAATGGCATCATTTTCTGAATAAACCCGACTTCTTTTTGCCCAAACTTCCATCGTCCGGGGCATATTTGATCATGTAATTATATACATTGGCCATCTTTTTGCCGGGATCGCTTTCAAACTTTGCATAGACTGCCAGCAAATAGTTCCCAGGACGAATCATGTTGATGAAAAATTTAGCGATTTTGTTGCTGTCTTCCCTCACAATGGTGACATTGTCTCTGTGGTCCTCATCTGGCTCGCGAAGGAAATGGTAAGACACTTGTAAAGTTTCAGGGACGCTAAATTCTACGACGATTTGGTTGGTAGAGTTGAGCTTGATTTTAGGATCTCGATAATTGATACATTTCATGCCAAATTTATCAAACAGCGAGGTGGGTCCCCACTTTTCCTTGCTCATGTGAGTTGAGGCATTCTCGGGGCGCGTGAGCTCCAGCTCTACAGGGTTGCTAACCTTGTCCACGTTGATGAGATATTTGCAGGCGTGTGCAAGAGTATGGTTATCAGAGGCTTCCACTGGGCGAGCGTAAATATCCAGTCCAAATTGTCCAGTCTGCGGGAATTGTACGGACAGGGTTACAACATCACCAGAAATGCTCTGCTTCACAAAGCGATCCAAAAAATGATCGTCGATGCCGTTCATGCGCAATTTGGTCACAAAATGCAATTTTCGCGGCATACGGAACTGCATCTCCATGCTGTCAGACGTGGTAACAACGCCAGACTTGTGTGTGAGCGGGATGAGGTTAAAGTGGCGGACGCTCTTCTCAGGGCCCCATTCCCCAGCGGCGCAATTTGGAAGTGGGTGCATTTTGTTAGTCAATGTTTCACAGACAACGCGGAATTTGCAAGCACATTTGAGTCGAAAAGGCATCATCGGGGCGTTAGGGTCCTCGCCAATTTTGTGAGAATCGTCGATTTTGTTTGCAAAAATCTCAAGGAAATAATCTCCGGTAGTGGGCACGTGAACGCTGTAGATCACGTGGTCGTTCATCATGGACTGGAAGACAAAGCGGTCCAATTTTGCTCCTTTATAATCAGTTTCGTGCTTCTTTTCCTTCTGCGCGAATCTGAGTTGATAATGGAAGACGACGTCGCGCACGATGTCGGCGGAAACCCGTATTTTCACCTCGGCACCGCCGCGAGTATTAGTATAGATGACAGATTTTGGATTATCCAAAAAGTTCATCCCAAAGTGGAAAAAGACCGACCGAACGAAGGGAAGTTCCTCAAATTCTTTGATAGTGATTGGTGTGGGCAAGAGTTGCCAATCAGGGTCGTCTGCCATAAACTCCATGATGAACTCCTCTGGGTCTGTCAGGAAGTAATGCTCATCATACTGGTAGCGAATTTTGTCTCTTCTCTTTTCAGACTTTTCCACAGCCGGCGCGGCTTCGTTATCCTTGTTTAACACAAGATGTCTGAAAAAAATAATACCTATGATTAACGTAATGGCATACTTCAGATAATTAATTGTCAGATACTATTTCAGTTGATATAATCTACGACGGTTGTTAAATTGGAAAAGGGTAGGTTCTCAGGCGTCTTTGTTTTGGAACACAATTCTTGATAAAAGAATACAGGGATGATATGAAGATTTGCTCAATTAAAGTAATAAACTTATTATTCTTGGATGATACAATATTTATTTTGCATTATGTCACTTTATGTCGAAAATTACATCCATGAATTACATGTTTATGGATTGACTTTGTATACAGTTTCCTCTTTAATGTTAGATTATCTGTAAATACCAAATGCTGTAGCCATCTTTTTTATGATTCAGAATACCAGCTTTCATAAGGCCTGTCAAAAGTCCATCTTAACTTGCTACATCTAAATTCAGGTGACACGCATGCCTGCACACAGTGGAATGTTAATCTATTAAAGCGTCTTGACGTGAAGGAGTAAACATATATTTCATTGACCTTCGATAGTTTACTGCCATATAACCATGTTGTCCTGTGGTAAGTCAATCACGTGACCTGGGTAAATTACACCGTGGCGTTCATGAGATGAATTCAAAATAATCTTCATCTAATCATTCTTGACCTAAGGAAAGCGACTTCCTTTGCCTAATTTATGAATTATTTTACGCAAATAGTATCTGATTTGTATTCTGTTCAGGGCCTACACCGATCTGAATCTTTATTTATGTTTTATGAAATAACAGGACCGGAAAACAAGCTGTTTGGGGAAACTGGTACAGACTTGGAGAGGCAAAGTGACAAGAGATAACATATGGCCATGCATCGCACTCTTGCTCCTCGCCCTTATGATATGAGAAAATGAAAGTAAATACAGTTCTAAATACAAGCATTTTAACTGTCATTAGATATATAATGCTCTGTCATTTTCTACACAACTTATAACAATAAGACGATAGTTATTGTCCCGATTGAAGATATTTGTCCTATCATTTGCATTTGATCTCACGACAGAAAGAATAAACTACATGTCTTTTTTTTTTTTATGCATAAGTTGGGACAGAAATGGGAGCCGCCATATTTGCAAGTGTCGATCAACCCAAACTACAGATTAAATACAGCCGTGCGTGACTGAAGCCATTTCTTTAATGACCATTGAATCCAAAACTTCTCCCAAAGACGACCATGCCGTGTTCTACAGAAGGATGCAATAAAACGTATGTGGATACACAGAAGGGGAACATAAAATAAATTTGCCTAATGAATTCAGTGGGTGTTGAATACAAAAGGAGAGATCCAAATTAACGATCAGGTGGTCTGCTATATGCCCAGATTTTATATTTTAGAGTTATGAACTTATGACCTTCTATCCACGTGTAGGCTATCCGAGCTTTATTGCCATGTAATAAAAACTTCGCAGAATTAAATTAAAATAAAATTGTTATAAATTACTTTATGTGATTTTTATTAAAAAGTACATAGCATCATTTTCACTTCTCAACACTCAGTAGAAATTCCACCTAATAGGGCAATCAGAGCATTAGTCAGAGCATTTTTTTTACCTTGCTCCCCAGTTGCACTGCACCAGCCTCCACTGCCTGTCCACGAGGACTGCATTCCAAGTATTGTTAAACATATCGTCACGGAACTTCATGCCTGGTTCGTAGCCAACGCTCTTGGATTTGCCTTTAATTTCAACACAATGCAGACCTGCGTAACTGAAATTAATAAGTTGAATAAAATTATTTGATTGGCTATTGATTTTTATGAAATATCTATCAGTGTTTGTGCTTTGGTGAATGAATTATTTAGATTGACAGAACACTTGGTTTTCATAGTGCAGACATTTCACTCTGTGTGGTAAAACATATAAATAAAACAAATGTACATACAGTCCAAATCCATCATCCCTAAATATTAAGTGATGTATAAAACACATTAATAAATTTTCATGCTAGAATACATGTACCAGGGAAATCATAAACCGTTTAACCTATGAAAACTGCTACTGAACAAACCTATACACTGTTCTTTATAAAAAGCCATGTCTTTGTTATTAATGACAACTAAGTGACAGCTATTTGTTGGGAACAAATCTACGAGGACCGCCCTAAAACATGGTCTTGAGTTGATATACAAATTAAGTTGCCATTGCAAATTTGTTTGGTCTCTCCTTGACAACAAATTATACTCATTTCATTTTTTGTGACAATAGATACATGCAAAGATTAAGGGCGGGGCAGTATTTATTTAACCAATACCACCTAGATAACAACCACAATAAAACAACAACAACAACAATTACATATGCATCATCCGTGATTAAATGACTCCGTGGCTGCACAACAAAGAATAGTCATCATTTTTTTGTTCCAACTGACGCATTAATGAATCCATTTCACCCACATTTCTCATCTCCAACATATAATTTGCTATATCGCAGACAGATTTCTCTTTTTTTTTTTCGCGAGTTGAGTTGAAGTATCTGCAAGGAGTTTTTTTGTAAGAATAGAGGCCAAAACTGGATTCAAAACTGGAGTCAAAATAAGCAGCTTTCTTCTAAGACTTTCACGTTTTGGGATTAACGGAAAAAAGTGCACTAGAGTAAACCAAAATATAGGCGTCATCCTTGGGTAAAATACCAAGATTATCAAAAGTTGCCTCTGAATCTGGGGACACTCATGAGTAACTGTTGGGTGTCGGGTCTTACCTGCAAAGTCTCATGAACAACACGTGGTAGGTTTCTGTACCGTACTTTATTCCGCGGAGCAGACCCAGTGGGGTGTCCTCCACCACCGTCTCATCAAACTCGATCACATTCAAGTCCTTCACCGTGATCCAGCGAAATATTGCCCTAAAATAATCAGACACCAAGAGTTAAAAGCTTTGCCAAATGTGACTAATTTCAAAAATTAACGAAACATTCATGTTTGCCATTCTTAATGTTAAAAACTATCTTACTTTGACCTTTCTTAATGACATCAAAAATTAAATGGTATTTTGCAGATATTCAATTTGTGAAAAGGATTTTCAGACATGTGCTAGAAATCAGTTTTTCTCTGCAATTACATTAAGTGCCATACGTGGTCCATGACTTCTTGTCCCAGTAGACATACATAATTGATACCAGCTTCTACATACCTGACTTTCTCCAGGTCGCTGAGACAAGGTGCTGTCAGTTGCTGGACCAAATCAGTCCATGTAGAGTGTTCACTATCGGCAATCTATAACGGAAGTATAAAATCACTCTCTTTTCTGTATTTATTCAGAAAGTACTTAGAAAATGTGTTTTACTCCATTTTTACACAAATGTTGCAGTTCACAGTTTAATTTTTGAATCACAAAGGCGACAAGAAGTGTTTTCTACAACGGTTGCAAAAAGACCGTTGTGATGTGAATAAAATTAGCTAAATCTGAGTTACACTATATAAAACGACATATAAAATCTTTAGATATTTTCAAACTTTGTTACCATGCAATAAAACCTTCACACACACACACACACACACACGCACACACACACACACACGCACACACACACACACACACACACACACACCGTATTTTGATACATTTACCTTAAACACGTATTCGTCCAAGTCGGTGAATACGCTGGGGTCCTCATAGAGTTCACGTTTCTTACAAGCTGCTGGTCTGGGAGGGGGCAACTCGTCCATTGTGGACATTGCTTTAAGGGCTTCCTCGGCCTGCATGATGAGGTCGTCCATGGCCACCTCCCCGCCATTGACCTGACCATTCTCCAAAGTCACGCTTTCCTAGAAAGGAGATGTAGAAATATGAATAGCGAGAAAAAAAAGACGTTTCAAAACCAAGTAACCACGGTTGCACTGATTTTTTTTTTTTTTGGATAATTGAATATCATTTCCTTTTGAATAAAAAAAATTGCGGGATCAATCAGAAACTTGAGTGAATTTTCTTCGTTATGTCAGAAACATCCACTGCTTTTTCAGAAAACTAATGGCTGTAAAAGATGTCAACCCTCCCGTCTTTGTTAGACTTAAGTACGTTTCTTTCATAGAGTCCGACATCCGATGCAATGTTCGCAGTGCATTTCTATTTACACTTGATCTTTTTCAAGAAGAGCAGCCTTAAGTATTTATATAACTTACATGGGTCTTTTACACCAAACAGTCATACATAGACAGGATTTATATTGAGGCACGCGATTTGAGTCTATCTGCTGACAAATTGTACTCGTAAAGCAGAGATTTTTTCACATTTCAGAACGCATTTATGCTAATCAAACTGTTATTTAAGAGCAGTTTTGCTGTTTATGTTCTATTTGGAAAGAAAATGCTAATTCGTTAAGTTTATATGACTATTGAATCATTGCAGGGCTATTTATGCTAACAACAAAGACACCTTTGGCAATATGGTACGTAACTTCACCATGCAAATTGGGTGTTAAAGAATGGGTTTTTATAATGCATGGTCCAAAATATATACATTTATTCGAACTTTAGCCCGCCAAGGCCGTTGGAAATGTTAAAATGTAACCAGCCATCCAGCGATGTACTTAGAGTCGTAAAGTCATTTTATGATCAATAAATTTTGAAATTGTACCTGCTTTGCCATTTCTATCTCTTGCTGAAGTTCCTGCTTGATTTCTTTTTGTTTAATGGCAATCAGTTCCAACATTTCTTGACTGTGTTTTGCCACTAAATCGCCCGCCAACTGCTGCTCCTTCTGCACCAGTTTCAGTGTCATGTACTTCTTCTTGTTATCTCTTTTGGCAGTCATGCTGTTCTCAAGCTCTTTCTTCTGTTGCTCGAACTGCATCGTTAGATGCTGAAGAAAAGGTAGTACATTTTTCAAAGTATCACCAGTGATGATGTTACGTATTTTCTTTGACTCGATATTACTAATGCTTTCGTAGTATTCATAGTAAACCTAACAATGTCCAGATATGCAAGGGAATATCAATAAACTAACAAAAAATGTCATTGGGATTTGCTTAAAAAGATTACAAATGAGACAGTTTTGATATTTAGAAAATCAATTCATTAATATCTATGTAAAATTGATAAGTACATTTCCAAACCTTCATTACGATAGCAAAGTCGAAAAAGGCATGGTTTCAAACGTTCCTTAAAACTAACTGATTTGGATTAGATTTCACGAGTTGTTGAATACTTAGGTTATGTTGTAGAATATTTGCCACAATTAAGCAGTGTTTCCCAAAAGTTATTTTTTATTTGTCATAATATAATAAAGTCTTATTGCGAGTTTGCTACCATATTTCTAAAAAGGGAAAATTATAGTAAAAATTTCAAACGACGTGTACGAGCGTACAGTAGCTTTATTCCCCATTACCAACTGCATGCTATATAAACTTCTAGTTTCAAGTCGTACACTCTGGTAGGGTTCGGAACAATTCTTCGCCCGCTTTGGCAGACAAATATCAAGATAACAAAATAACACTAGAATGCATATAATGTAATAAAAATAACATTGGAATACATATATAATATCTACATTCCCTGCCGTCACCGCCACTCCGAGGCATGCAGGTGCCCGCTCATGCATTTCCTGTATAATACACAGGAATACTCAAGTCTACACCGCCACTTCACCCTTCACCAACTCTGAGCTTGTAGAATCCAATTCTAAGACCCATAATGTAAGTGACTTTAACCAGGGGTTGCTAAGCAACCAGGACTTACGCTGACACGTGCAAGCTCATCTGGAGACAAAGTCTTCTCAAGATCATCAGTGAAAGCCACAGATTTGTCGGCTGATTTGTTGACCTACATATACACACCATTCACATATTGAAAGCAAGCAAAGCAAGGTAAAAGCAAGATAAAAAAACAGAAACAGAGTAACAGAATAGTTCAGGTAACAGAAATGTACAAGATTTCACGTAACACAGGGGTCAAATTTATTCTGAAAATGATAGAGAGATTTAAGGAAGATAGCGTACATAAAAAGGTTGCTAAGCAACCAGGACTCACGCTTATTCGAGCGAGCTCATCCGGAGACATGGTCCTTTCAAGATGCTCCGAGAATACCCCGGGCTTGTTTTCCTAAACACCATTTATATTTATGAAAGCAAGCGAAGCAAAGTGAAGTGAAAGCAAGCTTAAACACTGTAGGAAAGGGTGTTGAAGTAAAAGAAAAGCGTGCACATATTGTAAGGATAAAAAACAAAATATTAGACAAACGTAAGGAGAAATGCATATACAAGAAAAAATAATCTTAAGAATGTCTGCTATAAATAAAAATGGTTCAAGAAAAAGTGGTGTGCAGCACAAATAAGATATTTTTACCAGAAACACGACACTCCTACGCTCTTACCTTGAAATCGCCCTCTTTCCCTTTCTTCGGAGCCTTTTTACCAAACTCTTTCTCAAACTTCTCTGTGAGATCTTTGAGTTTAATTTCCCACTCTTGGTCAAGCTCCTGTGATAACTTTCTCTTTTCGTCCTCTCTCTCTGCGCGGAACGTTTTGTACAAGGCATCTTCCTCCAGACGCTGACGCTCTTCAAGTACTTTTTGGGCTTCAATAATCTTGCCTTTCTTCTCAATCTATAAGAAATATTAAGAACGATGAAATATGGCAAAATGACGTTCTTTGAATTCAAAAATTGGCAAATTAAGTTGCATTTACAAACAACAATTTTCGGCAAATTTGCAATCTTACAGGGTGAGATTTTTCAGTTCAGTAACGGAATGTAACCATGATCTTGATTACAGCGCAAAGACTGATTAGTTAGTTGTGATACAAATTAATCTCAGCACATTTTATTGACCTCGTTTTGTCACTGTCGAGAAAATGTCCGAAAGCCATACTTCTGCATTATGATTAATTTCAATGAAGGTCTCTTGGGGGTTTACCAGCGAGTATTCTTTACGTTGGCTACGTAAAAAGTCATACGTGAAACAAGGATATGATAATCTGATATATATATTATTTGATACAATCAAACAAATTTAACAAGGGTACACCTTTATTTCCACTAAAACATTATTATTTCTAATATCATTTTTCCGATTCCCTGTATAACGCTAGCCATATTAGACCTCATCCACCATATGGATGGATTTTAATGTCCGTGTGACATGTGTCGTATAGGTAAATACTAGTGGGAACGAGAAAACTACTGATGCAATACCGAAAACTATATGCCTCCCTCCCCCCAACGTAATAAGCACAATAACGACTACAGACCTTCAAAATCGAAACACATTATTTCTTCAGGTTATTGCATGCGTTTTTTTAATGTTTATTGTGCGTATTAAAACAAGTTTGAACAAAAATAGTGCAGTTTCTGTCCTTCATACAAAAAAGGAAGAGGTAGAAGCGAATACGAGTGACAATGTTGTGTCGTTGACCGCAAAGACGTTTTTACTATACTTTAAAACGCCACGGTGACATTAATGATTCGTAGAAAAAGATGGGACATGTAATTATAATAGGCATCAGAGCCGACGTTTCTCTTGCAGCATAATGTAGTTAGAGGCATTACAAGTTACAGAACTTAATGGTTGTGTTTGCAACTTTTGAATATTACAAAAACGCTCCGTTACTAGGGCTACCAGCTCCAAGACTGTCAGACTCGAAAATGTGAGAGTGGGGTAATTGGGGAGGAAAAGCAAAATATGATCGTAAGGCACGAATTCAAGGCAAATCATTAGATAGATCTTTCAGATGTGGAATAAAACCCCTCTCGTATAACTTAAATGACACTTCCTTGTGATAAATACCCAAACTTTAACGTGATGACGAGTGCAAGTAAATCAAGCAGGCCAGGACATGAAAGGAGCCATACATCTTGCACGACAGAAGACATCAGGTAGTCACGAGAGCCCCCTACAGAGGTGGAAAGTAAAGGCGACTTCACTGCATACGACAGAGATGGAGAAGTGATATCAGAGCTTTTCTGTGATATTCACACACCTTGCTTTCGGTGGGTTTCAAAGGAGGCCTCCATATGTCGCTTGAATTATTTAAAACGAGAAATTGGTTAAAACTGTGCCTAGTCTCTAGATCTATAACTTCCCGTTTTTGTGACAGTTGCATTAAAGATACACTAAACGACCTTTCATATGTGCGCTCAATCGATCGAATGTACTTTTTTAAAAAACGTGGCTGTTCAGACAGCTTTCTTACCCATTGCCTGCTAGAAGCAAAATAAAATTGAAAATAAATCCGATATTTGTCTAAATTGTAAAATCTTTGTTTAAAGTTTGTTGTAAACTACGGTGCCAAACACCCAATACTTTGTATCAACATTCCTAGGCTAAAGCCTATGATCACAGACTGTTGCTTCTTTGTCTTGTTTCTGTGAAAAAAGTACGTTCAATAGGGGTACGTTCCACAACAAAAAGTATCTATGCTGTCGTAGGAGATATGATCAGATTTAATTAACCTAATTACATGTGTGCACTCTAATACTATCCATCCACCAATATGCCATGAGCGCCAGACGGCATGCCTACAGTATTTTACAACATGCACCACTCATATCATGCTTATTCACATTGCATTTTATATGACCAACCCTATACATTGAATGGCTGCCACATGCAAATTGCAGATGAGTAGGCCTCCGAACAGGCAAGCGCACTATTATAAAATGGCCCAAAATCTTCATGACTTGTTCAAAAACGCAGGTTAAAGGTTCAAGTCTAAGCATTTGATGCAAGTCAGTAGATCTTATTATGAAACAATTTTGTGTCTTCTGAACGTTGCCGAAATACTGTCGTACTTATCTTGCTGATATGCAGTACTTAAATTGTAAAGTCACTTAAGTATGTTGTTTTGGTAAGGTACCGAGTCCGTTGGCTCTCACAGAAACAGAACATTCATATTGCAAAATGAATACGTGTGAAGCGGCTTTATACAGAAATGAGTCAACCAAGTCACTGCGTCACTTGGCGAACACTGTAAACTACCTTTTAAACTATCCTGATGCCGGAAGTTGACAAATAACCCACAAACCCTTTTTCTGCTATTTAAGGTAGATATACATAAGTATATGAGCTGACAAGACTAATATTACACAAGAATCAAAAATAACGGTGTGGATTAGTTAAGTCACATGTGCCAATGCCAATCTGTTTATCTATACAGGGTCACTACTATCAGGCAAATATGAAACACATATGCAAACACAGAGCAATATCTACCTAAATGCTACTTTTTAATTTTTAGCACAAAGTTTATAATATAAATGCATAAAAAAGATTCTAAGAATAAAAGAAAAAGGGTATATAAGATAACCTAATATGTAATGCTCCCATTTCCCTTTAGCTACCGGCATTAAAGACACCTTGAACACCGTTTGAGTGATCACTTTACTATCCCAAAGAAAGGATTGGATTTTTTTCTCGAAGTGGTATTGTGAGGAATGCTTGTAGTCGTTCACGCGGCTGAAGTCATGCGAAAAAAAAACGTGGGTTTGGAAATAAAGTGATGATCGGTTGATGCTTAAATTTCATAAGGTGCGCCAGGAAATTTTGTCATATGTGTTTTTTTGCACCAAGATTCTGTTTCTGGTTAGATTACCTTGTCTAATATATTGAAAAATGGAACTTAAGTTGAAAATGCAAAGTAATCCGTTTACAAGCTTTTTCGTTGACAGAGCCTTGACCGACCGACTATGAAAGTAATAACAACCATATTATAAATGCAAAACGAAATTGTCAACGCCGAGATGCTCATTTGAGGAGCACCTCAGCTAGTGGTTTTCTCCACGACCAGTTATTTAAACCTATACCCATTGGTAATTAGAGCACTGATAGAGGGCATTTTCTAGACTATTGGCGCCCATCACCTCTTAAATAACTCAGCACCTCAGTTTAATTTTGCCATATTAGAGATAAGAAGTTTTAAGTAGATTAATTTCTTTCTGGCTTTTTATTAATCTCATCATAATTGTGGGATACAATCGGCCAGGAGACAGGGGTGCATTCCATCCTACGGCTCAGAGCTGTTTCGCTTGCAAGTGTTCATTATGTCTCCTGTAAAATGATGAATCAGGTCACCTAGGGCATTAGAACACCTAACCCATCATTTTCCCAGCACGTAGAATAATGTTCGAATCAACCTCACCGACATCTGCTACACAAAGAAGCGCCTTCCAAAACAACACGTCTCGCCGCACATCCCCATTTAAGTTAACATAAGTAAGGCGCTGACCCGACGTCAAAGTGATTGAAAGGTGAAACGAATGTCTTGTTGAAGTGCGGAGGTGTATTGGCACCATTATATAGATAGTGAAAGAGTATAATTGACGATCTTATATTGCATACTGGACTGGTTATGATGAAAATCACTTATGTGGACAGAGTGCAAATGCAGTCACCGTCTATGTAAAAGGCGTCCATTTAATTTTGGCAATTCCAACTGCAGCATTGGTTTCGGGGTATTATTCACACGCGATGTTTGGAACCAGGTGTAAGACTAGTTTGTTATAAAATTATAACTTGCAAAAATTGTTTCAAAGCTCATCTGTTCAAACTTAACTATATTCATTGTTAACCCATCTGTTGGAAGAATGAATCAGCCTCAGTTTATTACAATACATATAGAGGCTTCATTTCTTTCCGTCACGCAGGCAGCTAAATGACATTTTTCTTTTGTGCAGTGCTGCACTAAAATGGAGTTGTTTTGTTACCCATAAAGACAGGATACGAAAATTACCAGAGAAAAATCACTTTTAAATTATTTAACAGTAATTTTAGTTGTAAAGCACATTTTACTGTTTGGCAATGACGTGATATCACTTGGAAACGACGCGTTCTTTGTTAAACATGACATCCATATGTCGTTTGCTCCTCACATACCTGTAGCAATAACAAAGACACCACAACCATAAAACTGTTGCCTCAGAGACCTACCAAATCTAAATGGCACACGACAGGATCCGTTGAAAAGCTTGATCTCCCCATCTTAAAACCGGCATTCGGTCAAATATCAAGATACACAGTAGGTCTTAGCTTTTTATAGCGAAATCACATTTGATAAGTTTAATACAAAGCAGATCGATGTGTTTTCAATGACGTATTCAGTGTTGTTTTCAAAGAAGCTAGAATTTCCATACTTTTTCTCTTTTTAGGTCATCTCGGGACACTTTATTATTTACCCCCTTTCTTTTCAATCAAAGAGTGAATAAGGGCGATTCGAACAATACCTGTCCTCAGACTTAAAGAGAGAAAGTGGCGGGACACCCTGGATGACAAACACAGCTCTGGTTTTTGAAATAGTTCCATATTTGGATGCCAATGCATTTCAAAAACCTGAATTAGTTACGAAACATTCTTTGAGGCTAGTTATACCATCTGTATTATTTTAAGGAGACAAGAGGAATTTCCATCTGGTTCCAAGTATAGACGATTTACCAATACGTACGTATTGCGAGGGAAGCACGATCTGTTTAACATACACATTACATACCCCGTTTTGGCAACTTTACTACTGTGCAATGTGCCAATTTGGATGTCAGCCACATCACCTCAGTTGGTATTTTCTAAAAGCAGATGATGCACCGTCATAGTGACCCTTGGTGACACATTAAGTTTTCCACAGTGCTGTCATGCATGCATTAATTATGATAGAGCCCATCGTAACTCAAACACCAAATACGTGATATGGGAGCTTGAGGGTTCGACAACAGTTGGAGATTTAGGCAACCGGATGCTGGCAGTTGGTCGCAGACTGCTTTTTAAGCCTTTTTCATTACATGTAATGAATTAACAACCGTCTAGCCTATTTGAAATCATGTAATAATTAAAGGTATATCGATGTAAGCACCTGTAAGGAATGTCAATTGAAGTACTTTGAAATTTAAATAAGTTAGTTATAAGTCGGTTCTCAAGAGGAGAAAAGAGAGAGGAGAGGCCCAAAGAGGAGGGGTCAAAAGGTGAGTGTCCACTGCCAGCCACCGAGTACCTGCTTCTCGTGACAAATTAAATAGTTGGTCAATTTGTCTGCATTTGTCTCATGAGAATTGGCAGCTACTTGTAATTTTGGTCGCCCAAGGGAATACTGTTACCGTTTGCCATCTCTAAACATAGAAAGTCCTACCGGCACCAATACCCTTTATGGAATACAGAATTACAAAGGATGTGGTTGAACTCGTGAAATAGCTGGGCCCAAAACGGGTAAAAGCTATATTACAATGGCCAATTTATCCATCGGAAGACTGTTTGTAAAACGTTCTCAGTCTTTCCCCATTCAAATACCTTATTTGGTACCAGGATCTAAAACAACTCCAACTTAAGATTGAGTATATCTGTCCATTAGATCTGTAATTAAATAAACATGGTCTCTGGCCCATTGAATGTCGTGGCCTACTTCTCTAACATACCTCATTTTATATAACATCTGTCGACTGACAATCTACGTTACTTTATATGCAATTAACGAAATAACGAGCAAGAGTATGTTTCCCAAGCTACAAACAATAATTAAAAGGAGAAACAAGGTCAAGGTAATCAGCGATTAAGTCGCTGGTCGTCTGGCCTAACTAAAACAAAAATGACATTTTGAAATTATGATGTTAGATATGCTTCCTGTCATTGACACGAAATACACTGTTGGTGCTTACACCATATTAAAAAAAGGCTCTCAAATGAGTTTGTCTCGTCGTGCGTTGGATTGTAACATACACGAACACACCGACACACACGCACGCACACACACACACACACGCACACACACACACNCGGGTAAAAGCTATATTACAATGGCCAATTTATCCATCGGAAGACTGTTTGTAAAACGTTCTCAGTCTTTCCCCATTTAAATACCTTATTTGGTACCAGGATCTAAAACAACGCCAACTTAAGATTGAGTATATCGTCCATTGAATTAAATAACCATGGTCTCTGGCCCATTGAATGTCGTGGCCTACTTCTCTAACATACCTCATTTTATATAACATCTGTCGACTGTTACTTTATATGCAATTAACGAAATAACGAGCAAGAGTATGTTTCCCAAGCTACAAACAATAATTAAAAGGGGAAACAAGGTCAAGGTAATCAGCGATTAAGTCGCTGGTCGTCTGGCCTAACTAAAACAAAAATGACATTTTGAAATTATGATGTTAGATATGCTTCCTGTCATTGACACGAAATACACTGTTGGTGCTTACACCATATTAAAAAAGGCTCTCAAATGAGTTTGTCTCGTCGTGCGTTGGATTGTAACATACACGAACACACCGACACACACGCACGCACACACACACACACGCACACACACACACACACACAGAGGAATTATGAGCGCTAACAAATGCACAGCAACAGCTGATTCATCATGGAAAAATGTAGGCATGCCATGTACAATAATAGGTCAGCTCCCACATTCAACACAGTGACATTGCCAAGACAAAGCACTCACGAGGCGTGGCGTAATATTGATTATGAAAAACCTTTACCTCTCTATTTCTAAATCGTATCGCATACGTGATATTCGTCTTAAGAAAACATTTAGTTTTCAAATCTCACATCTCACGTGCCCTCCTCACGTCCTCGTTTGATGTAGAGTTTAATTGAAAAGTTTAAATATCCCATACCACACCTACGCAAGAATTTCACCATGTTATATTTGATCGTGAATTAACCAAAACCCAATCAATAATACTATTTTGTACAGGCCCTATCGTATTGATTTATAAGTGTAGACCACATCATTTATACTGTGGCCCAATATTGCACAAGGAAGATGCGGGCATGAAAACATTTAGATTTGATCCTTTTCAATATGCATAGTAGGCCTTGATTACTTTATGAATTATGCACGACATTTGGAGATTACAAAGCAGTATTTTTTTTCAGTTACAACTGGAGGGATTGGTTAGGTTTTTTTATAATTCCAAACAAATGAACAGTCATCAACCTTTCCAGAAGTAATAACGGCTTCTAAAATGCGACTAATAAAGCACACATGATGGTCTAGTTATGTATAAAAAAAGGTTGTGCAGCATGACGCATAGCATGAAATCTGAAGCAAGAGATAGCTAGAGCGCCTGGTGACTTTTAATGATCGTTACTTGAATGATTAATGGTTATTACTATATCTGGACTTTGCTTTTATTTCATACCAAAATACAGGTCAGTTTTCTTTCCCAGATTTAGCAATGGGGTATTTATTACAGACGAGAACCACTGAAACGACAAATCCCAAAAGAAATTTTGAACAGGTTGTCCATTCGAGATTTAGAAAAACGAAATGAAGCCACATCACAAGTGAGATAAAAATCTGTCATAGCCAAGAGTATATTATATATATCTGTGGCTGATGGGTAACACAGCATGCATTTCAGGTTATTACCCATGTCCAGAAGGCGCATCGCTCGTGTAAAAGAAATGACATCTAAAGGGCTGTGCTGCATAGCCATAAGCCGTGCTAATAATATGCATATTTGAGGGCTGTTTTCCTGTACTGGTAGGGCACATTAGAGCTGTGATGGATAGCGTGGTTGGGAAGAGCTATAACAAACACGTGATAAATAGGAGACGCATGTTACCCATCCCCTGTAGATGCTACCTCCAGATAACCGCCCTGTGTTCTACATATCTTGTCATCAAGGTGGAAATGGAAGGCTAGGCACAACACTTGTGGAACAATGTGGGAATCAAGTCTGCTACTGTGCTGGAGCATATCACCAGATTAGTGCGTTATCGTTTTTAACACACAACCACAAGGTGTCAACTTTTTGTGTGAGAAACCCTACAGCAGCATGGCTGTCATTATTGGAATGTAGGCTGGCATATAATTTGGAGTGATCATACTTCTAAAGAACCAAGGGAGAATGGTCGGTCCCATTGCGAAGTGCTACCGGTATTAGTTCACCTAAAGGGGATGCCGTTATGCACCTTTCACCAAATCGATAGAGTTATGCGCACAATAAACAAGACCAATACAAAAGATAAACATTACCATTGTTATTCAGTCTTAACCAGAACGAGGTTTCTTCAACTTCAAACTCAGCGCGCTTCTTTCCATTCAGTCGGGCCCCCATTTTAACCTAATGACCCATATTTATTCTCTTGAATTTTTAATTCCTAAAAACATTATGATTTTTTTTAATTTAGATTCTGTGTCAAAGATATTTGACAAAGGATTATTTAGTCAACAACTTTTACGCCAAAAGATCTTTCTATCAAAGCATTTCACACTTATTAAGATAAAATACCGACCCTGTCGTGATTTCAGATATAAGAAAATGGGGAGAGGGCGATATTGGACAGCAATTAGTAGATCTGATAAGATAATACAGACAAATAAAGGAGCAACGTTACCACGTAGGCTGGGTACTGATGTGCCCCGTGTGGCATCTTGCCTCCCTTTTGGTACTGGGCCTGGGTATTAAGCGCCCCTCGGATATGTAGCGCATTGGCATCTATATGTCCCGCCGTAGCGCCTTGGTGAATCTGTTCGTTCACTCTTCCTCCAGCCTTTGGAGCGTGTAGAGCCCCCTTGATTGCCAAAGACTGGGCATCGATCAGGGGGGCCTGTCCGATGTTCCCCTTTTTGCCCAAATCACTTTGCATTTTCTGTTGGGCCAGAGCGCCTCTGATCCCAATGGCTTCATTTCCCAACCCCTTGGCCACGGTTTTCGGGGCGTGGACCTGACAGTAGACATTCTTGTCGCTGACATCCACTTGGTTGGTGGTGTAGTTCTTCAGTGTAAGATGCTGGCCACACTGATTACAGCGAAAGCATTGTTTGTGAAACACCACTCCTTTCACTGGGCCGATTTTCTCGGCTTGGTATACGGTCGCTTCACACCTGTGACATTTCTGTAAATTTGACGGCGACTCAAACAAGGACGCCAGACGCGACTTTCCTCTCTGTTCAGAAGGAGAGAGAGAATGTTGTCCATTACTGCTGCCTTCTGTGGTCGCCATGTTGCATATTTGCTACAATAACCCCTCAAGTGGTCGGACGTGTCCACGCCTCAGTGGGTCTACTCCATACACCCCGCTCGTGATTCATTCACTTTTGGTTAACCTCTCACTGTCTCTTCGTCTTATTTCAACCTCAAGAAGGATACTTTTTTCACAGATTAATCTCATATGGCTGTGCACTTTAGCGTTAAGATGACACACTTCAAACGACTTTCACTCACTGCACAAGGTAGAGTCATTTGTGTGTTGAATAAGCAATGAACACACCTGGATGAGTTTATTATGCTAAACGGGGGTGGAAGGTATGCTCAGGTGTGTCTTTCCTTCTTGGACAGTGATGCGCGCCTGCAGGTCATGAAAAGGTGCATAAATTAATTATCATCGGTAAACGAGAAGTAAAACTAAAAACATTCGAAGAAAACACCTGTAGCACGCAGGTTAATGAAGTCGACGTACTTAACCACACCCAGATCGGGGAGCTGATCACGGGCCCTCTTTGACCCGCCCTTCTGTTTACCGAACACACAAAAACGATGAGTCCCCCACCGTATTTACATTATATCCAACCAAATTCTGAGCTGACGATAAGAATGTGGAAATGTTCGGGCCGGGCGTGCGCCGGACTAGGGACGTGCGCTGTATTAAGGAAGTTTATCGGGGGGTAATATCCCATTGATTGGCTGATCATATAGGATCGATCGGCCTCTCGGGGTGTGGGACCAATCCACACGTGGACAGAGTGTGACCCTGCTCTGGCACAGCGATAGGATCGAGGTTTTTAGGGTGTGGCGGCTTTGGGTTTGATATCTATTCAGATTACTGTAGAGGATAGAATAAGCTTCATTACAAAACACTTATATTACGGACCTATAATCATATAACCACTAGATTTTGCTAACTTTATATTCTTTGCTGGTTACCTTGATGATTTTTTACTGTGTCAACTGTGAGTGATTTCGATTTACAGGTCTATTTTCAAGTTTCGTTTTATCATTCATTATGTTTGTCGTCTATTCTCTAAGTTCCCCACTTTTGTAATACTTATTTATTCTTATTGGTGCGAGACAAATGTGACGCTGTCATTCGACTGAAAAAGTCTATTTCGGGTATGATGTACATCCAAAGCTATCTCAGTTCATTAGCATTTTTCAAATTCTGCCTTGACAATCCGCAAACAAAAACCCTATTTTAGTCTTCAGAGTGTAGGCTGTCTTGTCACAATGATTCTAAAGTTTCTAAACAAAGTCAACAAATATGGGAACCTCTCCAAATCGCTGTGAGATTTAGTTCAAGGTGTTTCTCACGCGTATATTTAACATATGCGGTGAACCCGGCTACCAGCATAACGTGTACGGTGTCACTCTTCACACGATCACGTACTGGTATATAACAAGTGGTGTATTCATTCAGGAAGCAAATAAAAAAGATGTTTTTTTTCATACGCGCTCAGGTTGCTATTAAGAACGAAGTCACATTGGATACATAGACGGAAAAGTCGAAAAAGTAATTTAGAAAGGGAAGCGCCCACCCTGTTTTGGCTGAATGTGGTCTCACCATTACATTCCGCCAGTATTAACTTAATGGTGCATGAGCGCCTTTCTAATTTAGTAACATGTGTAATAAGATGGATGCATCTTGAACACAGTGCACATCTCATAATTAATTTAACGATAATTCTGCAATTTCATTTATCTAAAGGACTCAGCCACAACAAAATGAAAATGCATAGAAATTAATTTGAGATTAACGAAAGACAAACAAACAGACCTTATAGCTTTCCCTGACTCGTTGTTTTGAACTCGGTTTTGTATTCATTCATTCATTCATTCATTCATTCATTTATTTATATATTGCTTCAAACATAAAATGCCCCAAACAAGTTTCGAAGTACTTTGTCGTCATTACAACTGCTGAGCAGGTCGGCAAGACTTTACTACTCCTGTTATTTTTTATCAAAATGCACTGAAAATAAAGAGATAAATTAGGTTATAAAACTTTTCTCCATTTTTTGTCAGTTCATTTACTTGCACGCAGAAAATGTAGGAGTTTTTGACGAATCATATAGGCTAAACAAAACCCTCCGCGCCATCAAAGCGTCCTTTGAAGAATTCCCGGAATGTCTTTATCAGATTTTTATCTTCGGCTATAAAATATGTCCCAATTTTGTCAGTTCATATACTCATACACAGAAAATATAGGAGTTTTGGACGAATCATGTTAACGGAACGCTCCGTGAGACAAAAACTTTCTTCAAAGAATCCCCATGTTGTCTTTATCAGATTTTTATCTTCCGCTGTAAAATATGTCTCCGTTTTTGTCAGCTCATACACTCGCACGCAGAAAATTTTGGAGTCTTGGACGAATCATTTGAATAAAACTCTTCGTGGGACCAAGGCGTTCTTCTAAGCAACACGTGTTGAGCGTGCATCACTCCGACCCTCACCCACGCCGGAACAGCATACCCATTGTTCTTCTGTGTGACCCAAACGATATTTTGTCTTTGTACAAACTTTATGCTAATTTTCAGCTTCGCAAAATAAAGTGCATGTGAATTTTAGCGAATGTGTAAGTGGTGTTAGTTGTATTTTAAAACAATTACATTTTTAATACGAACGCTCTGCCTTTAGTCAGATTGCCTCGGGCATACATGAAGATAAAACACATATTGACCACAAAAATCGCTTGCTTTGCTTTTATCGTTGCCTGAAGCCTGAATTACACTCTTTATTTCCGATAAACATATATAACAGCAGCCATATTGAGCATACTCAAGTTCTTTACAATATATTTTAGTTGTTATTTTTTTTTTCAGACAAAATATCCAAAGAGCTTTCATGGTGGACTTTGAGTTATCTTAGCGGCTTTTCAGTATATTTATAAAGACGATGGGATAAATATATAATGCCGTTGGTCGATATTTCTTTAAGTCAGGGCGATTATAAGTCAGATATGTGGTGATTTATTTAGGGAGTATTTTCAGCCCAGAAGTCATCCACGCCTCATGTGTTGAACACAATGTCAAACAGGGGCAGGGTTTTTGTGACCTTTTCTCCAGAGAGGCAGTTCACTCGAGGTAGAGGGTCAAGTCGGCAAATAGATAATTGGAAAAATCCTTCAGTGCAGCCATGTAACTCACTTCGTCATATAAATTAACATTTTTGTGTAGGGAACATGCCCTTCTAATAAAGCACCGAACCATGTTTTTTGCTCAAGGATAAAACAATGTTTGCCAAAGGCAATAGGAGCCTAGAGAACTGAAATTTTACCTTCAACCATATTAATGTGGTATTCATAAGTTGCCTTATCACGTTGTGTTAAACATTTCACACTTTCCCGGATGCATATATTATGATTACCATCTTTGTACAGGTGAAACTTTATGAATGTGACATTAGAGCTTGATGTGACAGCTAGGTATTTCGACATAATTGTGGTTCGCTTTTAACGGAAACTTTCTTAAAATCAAATTAAATCTTGCGGTTTCAAGAATATTTTCAGAATATTTTCCTTCTGACATGTCAAATTTCATCAGCTTATTTTTTCGTTTTGATTTAAAAGCACATCATCGCTCAATGGTAATAAGTACCATTTACGTCAGTTTTGTTGGCACATCCTACTCAGATTTGCTCCGATTGGTTTAGATGTGTTTGGACGAACACACTTCTTATCCAAGTAATCTCATCTAACACAGCCAAGGTATCGTGCCCCATGTTAACGGCACAATCCTTCACGGCAGTCTCGCACCCAGAGGTTGGGAAGTGACGAAGCAAACCACAGCTGCAGTGGGTGTACCCTCTACCAGGGTTACAGATTAATAAAATAAAATTTCCATGAAATTTCCGTAGCGCCACACACGCAGCAGATATATGTCATGAATTAGCCAGAGACACATCAGTGAATAGAGAGTGGAAAAATCAATCTGTGACCCTGGTAGAGGGTACTGGGAGCAATCTTGGCCACTCTGCTGGGTCAGCCTCATCATTAAAATGACAAGTGTCCCTCTTCTACATCCACCAAGCGTGGTCATGTAAGGTACATGTACATTACTGGTGAGTAAACGTACCTAGTCACCCAGTTGCATTACAATCAAGAATAAACACGTGTAATTTACGTGGTAAAATTCCTAGACATACGACAAAAAA